ATACATATACAAATGTATGTTGTTGTTTGTAGGTACATGTAAAATAGTAGTCTTTTAGGCGTTGATATATTAGATTAACTTTAATATGCAATCTCTTTTCTGATTATTATGTGCCAGTATAAGGAAAAAAAGTTGTTTATCAATCAATTAAAAAATGTCTTTTTTTCTCTTCTTTTGTCTGTAATTCTTTTTTAACTAAATGTTTTTTTGTAATTGTGGCCCTAGTTTTATTTAAAATATTTTATACACATATGTAAGCCCGCCTCATTTTAGGCAAAACAATTCTAGTTAGAAACTGTGTTTTTTTTTAAGTATTTCAACTTACATAGATATAATTTTGATTTTAATTCTCAAAAAGGCGCTGGTGCTGGCTAAAGTAAAAACATTTAATTTTTTTCTTAATTTTTGAGCTGCCCATATAACACATAGCTGCCTACGCAAACTAATTTTTACAGTACTACTTTATCTAATGCGATACTCGAATCCATTAGTAATAAAATTGTAAGATGAATAATAGCATTTGGATTTATAAATTAGCTATTGAAAATTAGACTTTACGTTAGTAACTACAACGTATAAATTGGAACTTGGAACACTAAACAAAATACAAATGACCTCTTCTACTGAATCACTCGAAGAGTATAGACGTATTCAATGAAGCAAGACGAACAAATTAAGAAATATGATGGTATACTTCTTAAAAAGAGATTAGCAATAAATATTATAACTGCATGATGTTTATTATATATATTAGTCTTTCACGCGTAAATAACTGGACGGATTTCAATGAAATTTGGTATTCAGATAGATTGTATCCTAGATTAATACATAGGATACTTTTTACTCCTAAACACGCGAGCACGGCTCATATCATAATAATTAAAATATAAGAAAAAAATCTTCTACTGGTAAGTAACAATTCTAATAGTATTTTTGGTTCCCCCAAAGGGATTGTTAGTAATGTGTATTAATTAAGCCCCATTGCTAGCAAAGTACCTTGTCAGGTTGCCCTCCACGCGGTTCCCCCTGGAAACCATCACGTTAAGTTCCTGGTGATTTTACCACGATGGGCTAATTGACCTGACCTCATACTCATCTTATCATCCTCCACTGGTGCCCCGCCATCGTATACTGTTGGTGCAGGCGAGTGTAACATTCCATTATCATACCTTAAAATAGTAGTGTTGTCCTATGTCATTTCTAGGTATTATCGATATTCTAGAGGTTACCGATATTCGATGAGCTATTGAGCTGAGATTTAGAAATCTTTGATCCTAAAGTTGTTTAGACAGTAAAAACTGAAGCGAGGCAATGTTTAATCGGGCCACGTCTGTAGTTAATTTACGTTTCATTCTGTGATCGTAACTCTAATATATGGCTCTTGTAAAGTAGTCTACCAATGATCTAATCAAATCTTTTTGAACAGAAAATCGATATAGATCGCTCTCCTTTGTGATTTTTGATGTATTTATTAGTTTTTGTATTGTTTTCTTAGAACCTTAATGTATGAAAATTAGGGGAGAGCTTGTTATATATTCATAGATTTAGAATGGTATGTCACGACTAAATATAGAGAAAAAGGAATGATCTCACTATATTACATCCTAATAAGCTATAAACAGATATTGTATGTATATATGTCTGTTTTTACAAAAATCTAAGTACTACATATATCCACCCATAACACAAGTTCTTCTTACAGTGGGGCATCACATCTATATGGATGGTTACCACTTACCATCTGGTGAGCTGTCAGCATGTTTGTCATTCTAATTATATAAAAAAATGTATTATGACTCCGTAACATTTAGATGGTATCGATCATTTATTTATTTATTTACTACCTACCGTGCAAACGTTGTTTTACCATATAAATTAAAATCGCTAAAAAAATAAGGGTTGTTGATAGAAGGGTGAAAATTTAGGGTTGTATATATATTTTTATGCCAGATTATAAAAAAAAATTGTCTAAAGATTAAAAAAAAATATTAGGGTTGTGCAACCCTTATCACTTAGGGGTATGAAAAATAGATTATAACCAATACTTAGACCTATTGAATATGCATATAAAACTTCATAAAATCGGTCTTGCCATTTCGGAGTACATTGTGACACGAGAATTTTATATATAAGATTTATTTATTCATCCAAAACAATATAAATTGTATAGAATAACATAATAGTAACTTATGCAATAAATTTACAATATATGTAACAGAAACATAAGCAGTAAACCTCGTTATGTCAGCCAGCATAGTGCGCAATAGATCAACTGTTTACTAATGGCTATTCTTAGTATTATTATTATCAACTTATTAATTATTATAATAGTCATCTACCGAACAGTAAAACTTATTGAATAAAAATGTCCACAATCAAGTCTTACACAATGTAAAATTGTAAATAGTTTCTAAATCTAATGATAAATTATTAAATACAGTACTATTTGGGACTGTATATCTTTTCTCCTAGTACTTTCACAGATTAATATTTCTTCATCCTTCTCTTCAAAAAGATTAATCGTAGATATATCTCCAAAACTAAATTTCTCTAGTAAGTTATGACTCTTTCATATATAACAAAACGTAAAACAAAAGGTTTGTAATTTTTTTACAAAAACTACTTGTATACGGTTACCAATTATATTGATAACCAGCTGTTACCCGCGTTTTCACGTAATGCAATTAAACTTCACATTTTATTCTACATTTCATTTTTTTTTATTTAAACTGTTTATATCCTTAAATATTATATGGCATTAAAGTAGTGTATACCTATCTATTTGAAGTATAAAATCCCTGTCTGAACAACCATGTCTGAAGAGCCATACAAAGTCACCAAACACACAATCGTTCACAGAATAATAGGCTCGATCCAATAAGTATTACTAATATGTAGATTTTATATTTCAGTAATTGCCCGCTCAAATCGAATAGAGTTTAATAAAATTCAATAGTATCGGATAAATGCTATCAATATTTGAATCTAGCTTTAAATAGATCAATCTTACGACCTTACTCTTCTGTGATCTTGCTCCCATACTAACACCTACTGCCGACGTTCTGAAATTAGTATCGAATCATACACTGATCGCAACGCATTCTAGTGACGTATAAAACATGTTTATTTAGCGTGAAACGGTGAAAACTTTTATGTACATTTGATTGAATCAATTAGTTGGCACAGTCGAATAATTGGCGTCCAAGTGATGTAGTGATTATAGATTCGATCTTTATATTTTTTGTAAAAAAGTATCTTAATTCGTATCTTTTGCAATGTGTTTCTAAATGTGTACAAGGAAATAAAAATTCTACCTATTCTAAATAAAAATTCTATCTATAAATGCGGAAGAGTGTATATATCTTGTTGTTACAATTTTAAGACGTAACGGCTTGGTATAGAGTTTTTCTAAATAAATCGACAATGTAAAAAGTCGGCTAAATTGCTACTTCACTGTATCCTAATCCAGCCGCTAAGCAGCTTACTCAAGCTATTTCGAAAGGGGGAGATATAGAACGGAAAATAGATTTTTTTAACAGTAAGATGTTTATGGATCTCCGGAATGGCAAAGAGTGTTATTTGAGTGATAGTAAGGCGTTACTTGATAACATGATGTGGTTCGTACATATAGGCGATCGTTCATATTGGAGGGAAGGGTATTGTTGCTAATGTGGACTGTTAAATCCATTGCTAACAATGTACCAAGTCAGGTTGAGCTTCACGCGTTTCCCCCTAGAAACCATCATGATAATTTCCTGATGAATTTGTCACGATGTGCTAACTGACTGACAGACTTTATGTTTATCTTATCAAATCAAATCAAAAATAATTTATTCATATAGAGCAGTTTAGCCGTTTTTGAACGTAACATTTGACGAACAAAAGCGGTTAAAATGTTTTATCATTTTCCTATCTTGCTCAAAGTGACTCCCACTTAGAATATGTGCTATAGCATAACCAATGTATACCACAATGATTTTCAATGTGGCCACCAGACTAAAGATCGATGTTCGAATAGATAGCTATATTCAATTACAGTTACAGATACTCATGATAAGTCAAATCATAATCACTAGATTCAATTAGAAAAGTGGGATATTAGAACGAAATATATATCACTACACTAGCTGTACCCCGCAAACGATGTCTTGCAATATAGATTAAAATTACTATAAAAAAGAATAAGGGTGAAAGTTTAAGGTGTTATGTATTTTAATGCCACATTATAAAAAATAAAATTTAGTACAAAAAATAAAAACGAAATATTAGGGAAAAACAACCCACTTAGAGGTATAATGGTAGATAGTAGCCGTTATTCAGACCTACTGAATAAGCATATAAAATTTCGTAAAAATCGGTCAAGCTATTTCGGATGAGCATAGCAACTAACATTAATAATAATAATATATTTATTTTTCTCCACAAAAACATACATAATATAAAGTACTGCAGAGTCTTTGAGGCATGTAAAATTCCATGCAAAAATACAGAATTGTGGAGAATTGGTGCCTGTACTAGGTAACCCTGACACGAGAATTTTATATATAAGATAATACTATAACATACCGTAATTTTATATTATATGTTGTTATAACAGATGCGATAATTAGGGATATTCTCAACTGTCGACGCCGAAATTATTAAAATATAAAATATTATTTATAACATGTGGACATTATAATACACTAACAGTGGCATTCAGCAATCTATTATATTTTCTTATTAATATTATAAACGCGAAATTTTGTTAGTATAGATAGATGGACATTTGTTACTCTTTCACGCAATAACGGATTTTGATGAAACTTTCCAGTAATATAGCTTATACAACAGAATAACATGTAGGCTATAATTTAAAAAGCTACTATGTAAATTAGGCGAAAAATAATAATAAATGTCAGACAAAGTTGCGCGAGTCAGCTAGTACAATATAACTTAATGATAATGTATTGAACATTGTTGATATTTTTAAGTGAGTGTTATTAATAAACTTTTAAAAAATGAAACGGCGCAAAAAAGACGGTGAACTTCACGTACGGTTCAACGTTAATAGTTTGGTGAGTATCTGTGTTATTATTCATTATCTGTATTACATTATTAATTATTTACTAATATGCATACTAACATTATTATCAATTTTATCGTTTTATAAGAGTAGTTGTGTCACCACCAAATAGACAGTAAAAAATGTTACGTTATGTTTATGTTTGATGAATATAAAAAACTTCAATTGGACGACCTCGGTGGTCTAATGGTTTAACGTCTTATCTCCGATAGTCTCGGTTTCGATTCATTGATTCATATAATACAAACATATGCTATTTTAATATGTCCCGCAATCTTTTGTAAACAATATGTTGTTTCATAGTACGAGTTGAGGCATCCAGGCTTGAATGAGGCAACCGGCCTCATTCGAATTAGGTAGATTGTCAATCAAGTTATTTATAATTTACTGAAACAAAAAAAAATGTATAAATAACTATTATGAGACTCAACTCTACTGTGACGTGTGACGAGTCATTTTGAAATTTGACTATACAAAATGTACGATACTCTCCTACCCTCTTGTCACACTATGTCAACAGCCTCCCCCACCTCTTTATCAAGTGACATAATTTATTGACGACTTTCTCTTACATTGTACAATATGAACAACAACAATTATAGGGGAAGGGAATTGTTGGAAATAACGCTTTCGTGCGAAGCCGAGGCAAGTAGCTAGTCATCTATATAACTGTATTATACATATATCTATTAAATATATTTACACAAAAACTAAATTGTTCTTGTCACAGAGCGCAGTAGCATTGTAATTCCGGATTGTTTTCCTTTTCCTTAAAACATTTTCATACTTATTTATAGTATTCATATATTTCAAATGAATTTATAGTATCTCGGTATTTATACAGTTTGGGTACTCTAACTTGAACTCCTGCTTTCTAGTTCTTTATTTATTTGTTTTCATTCCTTCATTATTTATTTATTTATGTCATATTATTTAGATCAGTTTTTTTTTGTTTATAAAAAAAGTTCATTCACCCCCGAGGACATAATTGAAAATCAGTGTTTTGCTCCTTGAGTGATTCTCCACACTGAGCTATGTACCATTTTGTATTACTGTAGTACACACACGCAGGTTTACCAATACTGTAATGGATTGGTTTAAATAATCTGTATTATATACTATTTGTAATTAAGCCTATATGTGTGTACTACGATACAAATAAATATTCTTATCTCTATCTATCTATCATTTACCTAGAAATACTATCCGCAGTACAAATGTACACATTTATCTACTACGAACAACTAAAGAACATGATCAATATTTGTATATCGTTTCATACATTTGTGGACACTGTTCAACAAAAATATTGAATGGTGGTAGAGCCCTATTTTTTATACCAGTCTTATACAACCCTTCACGTTGTCAACATGTGAACCGTGACGTCATAAGTGTGACGTAATGCTATTGAGTGATACAAATTTAGTACGAAATTTAATATTGTTGTATAACATAAATTTTTCATACAAGGTTCTTAACTTGAAGTTTTCTATACACTACGTATAAAATCCTCTGAATGATTTTTGTCCAATGTAAACAAGGATCGAAATTACGACGGCCGGAGCCAAAGTTTCGCCTTAGTGACGTCCTCAGACTAAAGTCATATCCGTCAAGCAAGAGTTGACCTTCAGCCGTTCCATGAGTCCTTTCGCAGGAGTGCCATCTGTACTTGACTCATATTGTTCGGTAAAGCTGTAAAGGCCAGCTGTGGCAAGCAATATTAAAATAAATTTGGAACAAGCCGCAACAAAAAGGTATTGTATACATAGATACCATATATATAGATACCTTTTTGTAGAACTTGTCTAGCAATAAATCTAGTACACTACCCGATTGCTAAGCAAGTACCATGCAGTTGGACCTCCACGCGGCTAGCAGAAAACCATCGTGTTTAATTCCTGGTTGATTTATTCACCATCTTACGGATACTGGCTTCATGTTTGTGAAGATAATATAATGAGAATGAAGTCATAGAAGTTAGTTCACGGTGGCAAATGCACTAGTAATTTAGTAAGAAGTATATAAAATATTAATAACTATATTAGTAATGGAATTTAGCTCTCATTTTTGGGCAGGAGGACCTGGACACAAGCTCTGTCCGTGACAGCAACACACACGTGACTCCTCTAGTGTCTCAGGTGTCCACAGGCTACGGTTACCATTTACCATCAGATGAGCAGTATGCATCTTTGCCACCATCGTACTATGAACAAAAGATATCAATTCTAATAAATTTTAATTAAGCATCTTGGTTACAGACCAAAATGAAGCGTGGCTCCAGAGAAGAACTCCTCGGGAGCTCTCAAGATGCTCTAAGGAATAGCCAGCATGATCTGCGCAACAATTACGAGAAACCCCTCACCAAAGAAGAGAAGACATATCTTCTGCACGCTGACAGGGGCGACTACACTACTGTAAAAAGGTATGAAGGACACAAGGAGAAAGGGGATTGTTAGTAATGTGGACTGATGTTCTCATTGCTAGCAATGTACTATGTTTATAATTTAATTAACCTCCACACGGTTCCCTTAGAAACCATCGTGATAAAATCTTGGTGAATTTGTTACGATTGGCTAACTGACCAGACCCCGTGCTGATCTTATCATCCTCCAGTGTAAGTGCCCCACCAGCGTAAACCGTTAGCGCAGGTGGGTGCACCATTTCATTATCACCTTGTTATTTCAACTAATAACACATTTATATTTAATTATTATTTCCTTATTTTTTTTATGGATGACATTGCCAGGATTTCCTCATTCGTCTGCTCTCCGATCAATACCCGATACAATTTTTTTTAATAACCCAAGACAATTCACACCGCATCACCTAGATCCAGACCAATACAAACAATCATACTCAAGAATACAAATATTTGCGTCGTGCGAGGAATCCAACCCGCGACCATCGAAAGTAAAGCGGTGGGCTAAACCACTAGACCACCGAGGTCCATTTCAATTCACGTCTACAGTACAATCTGAATCAAAGTTACGACGCGCTGATTCGGTGTTTGAATCCCTATAGGTAGGACTAAAGTCGTATCCGTAAGTTAGGAATCGACCTTCAGTCGCTCCATAAGTACTTCCGTGGGTTTGAAGTGCCTTCTGCTCTCGCTCCTGTTTACTTTCGATGAAAATGTAAAGGTCAGTTACGACTACCACACATTTTGTGGCAAGTGATTTAGTGAAGAACTTGCATGGCATTTTCATATATATACCTACTATATTGTTCTTACATTTTATATGTTTGTATAATAATTGGTATAAACTCTAAATGTTTTTCAAAATTACGGTCAAAATTATTTAACCGGCTTCACAAGGATGTATTACAATTCATTGAATTTCTCAACGTGTTCTATGCTAGAATATGCATGTTTGATAACAACCCTTCCTCTTGGGGGGGAAGGGGATTGTTAGCAATGGGAACTAGTAACTCCCATTGCTAACAATGTACCATGTTAGGTCGACCTCCACGTGGTTCCCCCTGGAAACCATCGTGATGAATTCTTGGTGAATTTGTCATGATGGGCTAACTGACCTGACCTCATGCTCATCTTGTCATCCTCCACTGGTGCCCTACCAGCGTAAACCGGGTGCACCATTCCATTATCATACACAAAAAAAAACCTTTCCTCTTGAATCGCTCTATCTATTGCTGAAAACGGTATTGAAATCAGCTAGGTAATTTAAAAGATATAAGTGAACATACAGCCGCGCCGACATTGCTTTATGCTACGTAAATATATAGGGGATATATTTTTTCAATTATGTACATAAAATTAGAGGATTTTATTTTAGGAAACTGAAGGAATTTTGTGTAACACCGATAGACATCTTCCTCAATCTTACTAAATTACACTCGAAAATCTGTGAGTATGTTTGTTACTCTGTTACGCAAAATCTACTGAACGGATTTTGATGAAACTTCACAGTATTATAGCTGTAGCCAGAATAACGTATTACTATAAATCTTATGCGGGTATAACCGCAGACACAGCTAGGTTAAAATAATTTGAAAATTATTCTTTTCTTCCGAGATTATTTCTATAAACTTTAACAGCATTTTTTATATATGAGTCAAGTAGTATAGTAATTACAAAGTATATATATTACAATAATAAATATACAAGTATTGTACATGTTTAAAGATACAGTAGTTGCCGTATTATTCAAGTTAATCGTATAAAATTTAATAGCACGTCTGCACGTCTGCACGTCTTAATTAAAATTAAACTAAATTACTTTCGATAAAATTGGCAAGAAGTTGAGATATTTATTATCAGACAATTATATAGTTACTAACTTATACTACAACTACCATAGCTACTATTAATTACTCATAATAAATAACTAAATAATGAATGACAGTCAATGAATAATTGGATAATTGACTACAGTTTTCCTACACTACATACAGTACTTGTGAAGGAAAACTCGAAAAACTTATTTGTTTAATCTATATTAACATTGCTTAGTCGTAGTAGCTAACTTGCGAAGTCCTTGGGATCTGGAGGGTAAGGAGAGAGAGATCATAACCCCGCCATGGGTTATGGTTACCAGCCATTGTTTGACCTAACCATCTAGGTGAATTCCTGATTAATCCATGATGAGCTAACTGACCTGACTTCGTGCTTAACTTATCATCCCATTCCTGGTGCCCCGCCTGTATATATTAGCGCAGCCGAAAAGGTTATTCTATTAAAAATCACACACAATAGTTAGTCTTTTCAGGCAATTTGCGTCTTGTCGCGAGTTTACGATTGTATTCCATGTAAAGAAACATAGTCGGTGCGATTTGTCGTAGCCTGTGTAGCGGCAGCAAGGAAGCAAATATCGGAAGTAAACATAAAAAGGTCGGCCATTTCAACAGACGATCGTCGGGAATCACTACAAGGAACTAATCCAATTTATTAACGATATTAACATTTTACATACAGTACACCACTTACTTTGGTAAACATTCACAATGATATTAATCGTGGGTGTACTAGCGGTATTTGTTTTTAGACGAACTATTCCAACCTATGCTGGGCTTTTCTATTTCATCTATTTTAGCCAATTGTTGGTATATTAAATTAGTTATCTGTATACATTTGTTTAACCGCAAGACCGTTGTTCTTTGAAACCATTCGAATTTTATGGGTTTAGACTTAGGAGTGGAGTTAGCTGGTTGTTACTAACCTTTCGACTGGGGGAAAGGGTATTATTAGTAATGTGTACTGATGCCCTTATTGCTAGCAATATACAATGTCAGGTTGACCTCCACGCGGTCCCCCCTGGAAATCATGGTGATAAATTCTCCTCTAACATGGCCTAATGCTCATTTTATCATCCTCCACTGATACCCCGCCAGAGTAAACCGTTATCACAAATGGCGCACAATTTCATTATCATACTTATATTGTAATATTATGTTATCTGTGCTTATATTAAAAAAAACCTGTAATCCCACTTACTAACAATATAACAAGTCATTGTGGTTAGCTCATGTTAATGTGGTTAGCACTCATATATATTAATTTAAATAACAATTTAAGTAACTATAGATATGACAAAAGCAATATTAGTACAGATATAAACTACAAAGAAATAATGTGTGTGTGTGTGTGTGTGTCATCCGGCAAAACAGTTTCATGTTATTTTTGCTCTGTAAGCTATTTTCAATGGCTCAAAAGAGTTCACACTAATGTTATAAATACGAAACTGTCTAGGCCTGTCTGTCTTTGTTTTTTCAATTTTTATATAACTTTTTTTATATTTCCTGGATTCCATGTCTACAGCAAGAATAATACAGCACTAATTATCACTGTCTTGTTCTTTATATTTGTTGTTAAAATGAGAATTGGCATACTTATTTGTTTTGCGTTAGTATATTGTATTTCAAAGACAATATTATCAATTGTATGGAATTTTACCTTTTCAAGAAAAACTTCTAAACACAACGTAAACAGACGTAAAGATAGATTGTATTTTTTTTTAAACAAAACCGGTAAAAAATAAAATCGGTTCACCGAAGAAGTTATATTTTATTTAAAAAAAACGGACTAAGACGCAGATTATAGCTAGTATTGTAAATGCTGATTGTGTATTTGATTGTATATATGTTTGTTTACTAAATAAACAGCTGAACGGTTCTTAATGATATTTAATAGAAAGATATACAGTAACACGAGATGGACATAGGTCATTTTTCAAACTATTCATCAATTTATGGTAAAATATGACCGTATTATATTTTACCATAATATAGGTGGTTTTAATAGGCGATGAAACTTTGCAAATAACAAACGAAGTCATGCTCATTGGCTTGTATGTATTGTAATATTTTTACATTCGTTCTATCGTACAACAAATTATAAAACAACATTTGGAAACAAACTATCTTTGTGCTAACTACAGACAAGATGAATAAATAAAATAACTTTAAAACCGACGTAATAATGCAATATACTTTTCAGCTATTTTACTTTTAAAACGGAATACATTTGTAACTGTAAATACTTATTTACTTTTAACAGTAGTTAATTTTAGTACACAAAATGCACAAAGATCAAACATTAATTCCTACAGGACTTTTTGAACCAATTACGTACGTTAGTTTTTTTATAGCTACGTTTGTGTAGTGTCCAGTCCAGATGACTGTTTCACTTGAAAAGAAAGAATAAAGGCAACAAACTCAACTGGTATATTATGGTTATATATTTTTATGTCAGTCTTTTAACATAAGATTTATACTGTTTTAAATTAGACGCAGTTATTATTTATACGTATAGTTACTAAAATCACGTGATCTTACCACTTTTTTTGAGTTCCCGATATTTCAGACTGAGTTTCAACCGCCATGATCACGGGAAAACTGGAGAACAATGGGTAGTAGTAAATAAAATTTTTTATGGGCAGACATAATCGTCTACCTTCACACGCCTTCGTTTGTTGCTACTATTGGAACTCGCTCGATATCGATCTCGCCAAACTATACTCACAGTATCTTCACGTACATTTAATACACTTTCTGATCGCGTTTTATGGTTTTTTAATTAAACCAATCACTGTATTCCAGGCATTAGAGAGTTTATAATCATCATCCCGATTGAAATTTTTATATTTCTGTATTTCAATGGTCTTTCTAACCATTTTTGGGATATAATGTCTTTCTGATGTTAATACCTTCGGTTGGTGTAATTCAATCCAATGATGTAAATAATAAAAATTATATTCGAATTAAATTAATTTAGCAATAAACATACGTATACATGAGTACATATGTATATATAATGTGATCGTAAAATGTAATGTTCCATTATGTTTTGGATTATTAGGCACGTAAAATTTAAAATTATTTATGAATAATATAATTAAATAATTATCATTTTACTAGATAACGATCCGATCCGATGGATGGATGGATGACGGTCTCGGTGGTCTAGCGGTTTAACATACCGACTTACTTTCGATGGTCGCGGGTATTTATGAGTATGGTTGTTTGTAGCGGTCTGGATGTTTTCTATATATATTATGTATGTATGTATGTATGTAATTACATACATTATCACAAGATAACGTATGTATTTATATTTTTTTACTGATAACCTATTCATATGGTACGTAATAACATTATTAGGTACTTAAAAATCGTTTAATCGTTTAATCAAACATTTGTGGTAAATAATTAACACAAATGTTTGTACCCCTTTGAATTGTATACTATTGTTAACCACAAAAGTATACAATTATTTAATTTATCAATTGTCCTCGTAGAAGTTAGTTAGTTTACATATGTATTTATATATATTCATAGTATCATAATTAATAATCTAAGTAACCAGTTTGTGGCAGCACATGATTTATTAGCATCATCAGCAGCATAGGATGTACATCACGTCATCACATGATATACGTGACATCACATGACGGCGTAATACATCCTACCACTGGCGGTTACCACTTACCATCAGGTGGGCTGTCAGCCAGTTCGCCATTCCAATAACATAAAAAATGAGAATGGGCTTAATTTTGTATGTTCAATGCAAAAAATACTTAATATGTAGAAGTAGGTATGTAATACTAGCTCACCCGCGCGACTTCATCTGCATCACACGTATCATTATATATCGGCCAATTTACATAATAGCCATATTACTATCCAGTTTCATCAAAATCAGTTGAGTAGTTTTTGCGTGAAAAAGTAACAAACATCCATCCCTACTCACAAACTTTTGCGTTTATTATATTAGTAGGACTACCTTATCTCTCATATAAGTTAAAAACTCTTTAACCATTTTATATTAATAAATTTATTTTCTTCCCCAGATTGATTGACCAGTACGCAACTAACCCTGAAATTCTGGACATCAACTGTGTCGACCCACTAAACAGGTCGGCTCTTATAGCTGCAATAGAAAATGAGAATATTGAACTTATTAAATTATTACTAGATGCTGGTATAATGGTCAAGGTATGTAGTTACAATAATAATTATAATAATCATCTCAGGATAATTCACAGTGTCATCTAGACACAAGTTAAGCTAGCTAAAGCTTGTGCTATGGGCACTAGATAACTGATACAAATACATACATTTTAGTTGAAATCTTGCTTTAAATTACATGAATAAATAGCAAACATACGGCCCACCTGATAGTAAGTGGTAACCGTCGCATATATACATAAATAGCATATACGGACATAATGTTCTCACATAACGCCATTGATACTATACTCATGCGATGCTATTCTAAAACTACGTTAACCATTTACGTTCAGATGGACCTTATGCTTGTTTGTCACCTCATCCTTCAACCGAAATACACTTTACAAACCAAGCTGCTTATAGCTTATCTTATCTTAATATTAATAATATTATAAACGCGAAAGTTTATGAGTATGGATGTTTGTTACTCATTCCCGCAATAACTACTAAACGGATTTTGATAAAACTGCTATATTTTATATTGAAATTTTACGCGGGTGAAACAGCTAGTATATAATAGTAATAATCATCTTTATTTGTCTTAAATAAAAACTATTACAATTGCTGCTTATATTAAAATTAAAAAAAAATGAACGAGACAAAATGGTCTATAACTCAGTGACGGCAGTGAGTCCACCTTCTCTGCTGTTCTGTTATAGCCTTTATTAGTAAATATGCATAAGCTTTAATTGATTGCATTGAAATCTGAAGAATCAGGAAGTCATACCTCGGTATAGTATATAACACACCTACTTACCCCCGATTTCGTCTGCCTTTTTAAGATAAAAGATAGTCTGTACAGCAGTTCAATAGTGAAAATGTAGCAAACATAGTATAATATTAGTATGTATTTCAATGTCTGTAATATTCATTTGATTTTAATTGTCCTTCATTCTTTATTTGGTCTGTGTACAACACATACAGGGAAAAAACCAGTATATTACTGGTTTATAAATGTACTTAATACTATAAATGTAATGAACAATGGCGAACTTATCACGAAAAAGAGATTTCCAGCAAACCTAGAAAATGTGATAGTGTGTTGACTAGATCAGACATATATACGTGTACGAAAGGAGGAAAGGAGACACGGGGTTGTTGTATATAAGTCACAGCTGTAAGAATGACATACACAAATATATGAACATACATAAATATATAGATCTTATATATAAAATTCTCGTATCACAATGTATTAAATTACGCTATATAATTGAAATAAAATAATAACAAAACAGAGAATAAATATTTTCCTAAAAGATTTACGCATCATGGCTACCAGTAATTTAATTCACATTATATACTTGAACTTCCTAATAAGTGATGATTATTGTAAAAATAGTGGATGTCTTGTTAATAAAATAAAACAAATAAATTTAGTAGTAATAATATAGTAGAAACTCCACAGTAACGGCTCGAGCTATTTTTATGATATTTTATATGCATATTCATTAGGTCTGAGATTCGGCTACTATCTATTTTTCATACCCCTAAGTGATAAGGGTTGTTCAACCATAACATTTATTTTTTATATTTTTTTTATAATGGCGCATTAAAAAATGCTACAACCCCAAATTCACCCTTCTACCGTCAACTCTTATTTTTTAATAGCGATTTTAATTTATATTGCAAAACAACGTTTGCAGGGTCAGCTAATATATATACGTAATTGTTCTACGAGTATCGTGGTTTTCTTTTCATCAACAGGTGTGATGTTATAACGGTTAACCTACTTTACGTGGCCTCTAACCGACTTTTTGCATATAAACTCAGTAATGTAATCATGTAATCCTCAAATTGTTTTTGGAGTGTTTATTAAAAGCATTATACGACGTTGCGATGTCGCTTCAAAAATGTAATATATAATGTTTTAAATTTGACACGGTCATTATTTATACATACAATTTGAAAAAATCACCGTTACCACGATTTATTTATTTTTTATTTGTATAGAGTTTCCGATGTTTCGGCAGTGTTTGAATGCCTCTGACTACCTCAACTGGGATAAGTCGTAATTTATTATTATTAGTTATTTTTAATCTTATTCCTTTGTGTTACCGCAGAATTTCGTTTACAAATAGACAAGTAAAATGCACTCACAATTTCTATGCAAAGCGTGTATCAATGTCTTCAAATACCTGTAGCATTGTTTCAAATATACGTAACAGTAAATATCTATTGGGGAGATATGTAGAAGCCCCTGGGAAATCATATTCCGAGTATCATATTTCCACATTTTGCAACCCCCTTCTGCAAATGTCAGTATTATAATAATAGAATAAATCTAGCTTAGATTTGAACGACATATTAGAGGGGATATTGGTATTGTAACATAAATAGTTCCCGCGACTTTATACGCCTCTATATTTGTAGATGTTATCTATGGTGAATACATCGCCATTCTACTATTGATAAATTAATTTATATAATTGTAGATGGGGTCTCCATAAAATTAATTATTTTCCTCTAGGGGCACATTTCTCGGCTTTCTTTAGCTTTTATTTGACCCATCTTTAATATGATAATCTGTGAAATTACGGTTGACTCTGTGAATACAATTCACAATAATTTTTAACACGTTTTTACGTGGAACAGACAAATAGATAAACAAATAAACAGACAGTTTTCGCCTCGTTACGATTTTATTCTATATAAAGATAGTAAATCCCTGTTGTATTAACTAATATAATTTTGTGAAAGCTTGTGAAATAAAATTTATAGCCTATCTATTATTGTGAAACTATATTACTAGTAAGTTTAATCAAAATCCGTTCAGTAATATAATCTAATCTAATCTTAAAATCATGAATTACATATGCATATATTTGTTTCGAGGAGAGCTCCTACAAAGTATCAAGTGGAAATCTGTTCTCAATATCGTTTCTCCAAAGAAACTTTAAATCCCAGTCTTACCTACTTAACGTATAAAATTCGAAATATTCGATTTTATTCCTTATTCAACCCCATTTTGCACGTGCAAAATGGGGCTACGCTTTTCTTACTCTCTCAGTTTTATCTGATTACAATAAAGAAGATATAAAAAATATATACTCTACATACTGGGTTATAACAAAACAAAAATTTATTTGACTCTCGGTCCAGGGCGAGAAGCAAATCAGACTAGAATCAAAATCGAGGGCCCCTTAAAAAATACACTCAGCGTCCACTTTACTATCGTATAATATTTGTATAAACTATAATCTTAAATACGCATCTCATTTTGTAAATGTAACTTCTAAAATATAAAAACTTATTATACTATTTTATTATCTCCTTTTAAATGTTAAATAAACGTAATGTTTTTTATTTAAGGTAAGTAGGCGTGTTCACTTTTAAATTTTAAAGTTTTCGTATAACTTTAAAATTTAAAAGTCTACGCCTACTTGCCTTCAAATTAAAAACATTACGTTTATTTAACATTACATCACCTATATTATAATAGCTACTCGCCCCGGCTTCGCAGGGGTGTACATGTATTATATATATAAACCTTCGTCTAACATAACTCCATCTATTAAAAAAACCGCATCAAAATCCGTTGCGTAGTTTTAAAGATTTAAGCATACATATGGGCGGACAGACAGCGACAGCGACTTTATTTTATACTATGTAATGATGATTTAATTATTATGACAACACATCTAACACATTACATGTTATATTTTATGAGAATACATTTATACAATGTTTTACTTTACCTTCTAAGATATCGAAAACATACGAAACAAAATTTCGCACCAGTAGCTGGGTATGGACGAAACTTAATTAATTAGTCTTGCCTCGAAGCTTGCTATAACTTTGTTTATTACCAATTAACGTTCCACTACTTGCATTTACCTTAAAATACTTAGGCAAAATATTGATAGATTAAATACCTACTGCTGCCAAACATACCCTCTTCAATAGTTTTTTTATACATATTAATGCATTTTATATTATACTGTCTGTTTATTCTTGCTAATCTCTGAAAAATGGCTGGACCGTAACTTAGATACGTTTATTTAGGAATAAATATTTATTGTAATAAAAAAAAAGTTAAATTAAACGCGGACGAAGTCGTAGGTAACAGCTATTTGAATAGAAAATCCTTTATTCAACTAATACTATATAAATTTAATTTAGGCACTTGTGAATAGTCATCACATTTTTTTAATCTACCACTCATTCGGAAAGCTCTCTTGTCACAAGAAGAATGAGCTAACAGCTTGTGTGTTGCTCGTAAATAATAAATATTAAGCTTAATATAATAAATTAATTATGTTTCAGTAACAAAAATATAAATATAAGTATATTTACAGTTTTAGCGTTTATAATATTAGACGGATTTTTAACGCTACAGTATAGATAAATCCAGCTTAATATTTATAATTATAATAATCTCAGGACAAATCACACAACGCCATCTAGACCCAAGTTAAGCTAGCTAAAGCTTGTGTTATGGGTACTAGAGAACTGATACAATTACATAGATAATGTTTTCTTTTCATAAATACATGCATATTATACATTGAAAATACCCAGCCCGATACAAACAATCACACTCATGAATACAAATGTTTGTGCCGTGCGAGGAATCGAACCCGCGGCCATCGGACGTAAAGCGATGTGCTAGACCGATAAATCACCGAGGTCGTCAATTTATAGTAGGCAATTTGGACTCCCCCGCAGCCATAAAACTATCAGTTTGATATTACTTCAAATAAATCAATCGTATGTCACCGTTTGAACTATGTGATTATTTTTGAATGATTTTATTAAAGTATGTGTACCATTTAGGTATCTATTATCCTTAGAATATAAATAAATGTAGTACATATCTTCTCACTATTATAAACGCGAAAATTTGTGAGTACGGATGCATGGGTGGATGTTTGTTACTCTTTCACGCAAGAACTCCTGAATTTTAATGAAACTTTACTGTAATATAGCTTATATATTAGAATAACACATATGCTGCAATTTAAAAAGGTAGTATGTAAATTGGGCGAAATATAATGATAAATATCCAGTAACTATGTTTTATGTACGTAAATTTAATCACATTCAAAATTATCTTTTCTTTTACGATCGTATTTTAATTATGATAATGCACCGCCCACATGAATCTCTGTTTGCTCAATGGTTGACTGGTAGAATATACTTCGAGGTGTTATGTCCGCCATGAGCATCTTTACTTTTATATTTATGCATTGAAGTTTTAATTAATAAATATATAAATAAATAAAATACTACAGCCTCAGTGAAATACAATTAGTTCTACAAAAACTTTTGCTGCATCAAATCGTAGCTGATGTACATAGCAAATCTGTGTAACGAAAAAAAAGACGGTTGATATAATTAATAAATTACATTGGCCATTACGTTCTCTGTCATTCAAATTACATTGAAAAATAATAATTTTCTAGGATGCTCTGCTGCATGCAATCAAAGAGGAGTATGTAGAAGCAGTTGAACTGTTACTACAATGGGAAGAAGAACACCATGTCGCCGGAGAACCCTATGCAAGTATTACAACATTTTTTTACCACAGACTGAACATGAATAATATTTTATTGTATAATTATTTAAATTTTTATTGTTTCAAATAAAAATATATTTTTTATCATAATTAAAAACATATTACGCGGCCCCAAATAAATGAGATAAAAATGAAACAGATCATGATTTTAATAAAAATAAAATTTATATATAAATATAGTCAAATATAGAATACATGAAATAATATAATAATAATAATAAAATATCATATTTTCTTATACTCGTACTCTGTTATATATTTTTTCGTTATTTCTATCATCAATGAATACAGTTCTTTCAGAGAAAAACGTACAAAGATCCGCTGCCATTCCTTCCACGTTACGACTCGATGCCGTTCTGTACCCAATTAAAAACCTTAAAATAATCTTTACAGAGTTGGGAATCCGTTGACCCAGCAGGTGCTACGTTTACTCCAGACATCACCCCGCTAATCCTCGCAGCGCATACGAACCACTACGAGATCCTGAAGATCCTTCTGGATAGAGGTGCCTCACTGCCAGTGCCACACGACGTAAAGTAGGTACAGGTCGTTTTCTATACCACATCAACGAATTCTTTTATGTAATTGGATAACTAACAAACAAACTAACCGGCAAATGTCGTTCTGCCCTATCTTACTAATATTATAAACGCGAAAGTTTGTGACTATGGATGGATGTTTGTTACTCTTTCACGCAAAAAGAAGAATGGATTTTGATGAAAATTTATAGTAATATAGTTTATACATCAGAATAACATATAGGCTATAAATTTAAAAAGATATATTGTAAATTGGGCGAAATATAATGATAAATCTCAAGTAAGTGTAATATAGACGAGTTGCGCGGGTCAGATAGTATATTATAATTATAATAATAATAATGTTTAATTCGGATTGTTACCCATAATGTTTGTTATAAAAAATACAATTGTAAAAAATGAGTGTAGGAGAAGCTCGGGCATAGCGAATAACCCAGGTAAAGCTAATAAGTGATCTTTCTGAAAAACATTAAGAAATGGTGTTACAAGTTGCGGCTACATAGATAAGTGACCCCCCCTGACTACGCCATGACAGTTGATTCAAAACAATTGGTGCTATTCGTTTCTTCTAGTGACAAAAAGATTGTATTGAGTGTTTTTCTTACGATTTTCGATCAGGTTTGTTCTCATTTCATTTGTTTTTACTGTTAGCTAACCCAGGAATGATTTAGTTTTGCAGATTAACAATGTTTTAGTATTATTTGTGATATTAATATTATATTGAGCCTGTATTGAAATGTTAAGAAAAGTAGGTTAGTAACTAGTACTAAAGCGGATAAGTTATCCGCTTTAGCCCTTATAATAAAAAGGTAATATTTCACATTTTGCTACAAAATTTGATGCCAGCCATAGCAGCCATACTAATATGCCTTCATTCTGTACACCAGGTCCTTCTTCTATGACAGAACATACCTGCCAAGTACTATCGACTTCTATACAGTCTAACATATAAGAGATGGGTAATTTATCTTCAGCAACAGTTACCATTTCGCCATACGCAATATGGCCAATACCAACTATGGCTGCTTCAAAAACAAATAAGAAACGCAGAATCCAAAAGTCAATGGTATTAACTTCTACACCTGTTAAAAACGAAAAATTGAGAATAAAACTAAAATTTTATATTTAGATGTCAAGAAAAATGGAAAAGGAAAGAAAAATATGACAATGAGAGGAAAAACAGAAAAAAAAACATAATATTACGAAAAAAGTAAAAGAAATGTATTCATGCCTGGTCTGCACCGAAGAGTATATGGATCCACCTATAGAAGACTGGATCCAATGCTCAGACTGCCACTGTTGGGCACATGGAAACTGTACATTGTATGATGGACTTGGCAGTTATTTCTGCGACAACTGTCAGGAGTAACAACCTAATCCACTTTACCCAACTAGCTTTTTCGCTTTACCCGCCCGGTCGGGTAAAACGGATAACGGAAGAGGTTTTTAAGTTATTTTTTTCTACATGAAGATATTATATTTTGTTAATATTGCATGTTACGTTTGCAAAGGTTTCCTAAGTTAATTATTTCTGTGTTATTTTTTTGATTTTCCTTAACTTATCCGCGCTGCCCGGGCTTCCACTATTCGCCAATAGACGGCCAAGCAGTGTAGCGATAACTGAATATAAGTAAAACCGGTATAATTCTTGTTAAATTAAAATAAAATCTGTACTTACAAACTTATATATAAACAATAATAAAATCAGGATAATTCACACTGCGTCATCTAGTCCTAAGTTAAGCTAGCTAAAGCTTGTGTTATAGGTACTAGATAACTGATACAAATACATGGATATATATTTTTTTCGTAAATACATACATATTATACATAGAAAATACCCAGACTGAGGACCCGCGACCATCGCAATTAAGGCGTTATGCTAAACCGCTGGACTACCGAGGCCTTCACATAATGTTAATATTAGTAAGATAGTATTTTCGCCTACCTTTCACAGATGCGGGTGTGATGAATGCGTGAAATCTTCGCAGGAGGATTCTCTCCGTCATTCACAGGCCCGTATCAACGCGTACAGAGCGCTTACATCTCCGTCACTGATAGCGTTATCATCAGCTGATCCGCTCCTGACTGCTTTCCAGCTATCGTGGGAGCTGGGTCGGTTGAGTCGAATGGAGACTGAGTTTAGAGTTGAATATAAGGTAAGGATGCATGCTAGTCTCGTATCAATATGAAATATTTTTACTAATATGTTATTACAAGCCGTGCCCGCGATTTCGTCCGCGTGAAATAGTGCCCTGGACCAAATAAGGAAAAATATTAAACCCAAAACAGCCAAAGAAAAAAGATCCATCTTTTCAGCTTGAAAAATGACGAATTTCCATATAAAATTTCATTTTACTTTTCTTTTTTTAAGAGTAACATTTTTACAAATTTTAAATGTCATACTTATTTATATTAAATCAACAGCCTAAAAATAAGTTTCAAGCTTCCAGCTTTAAAAAAGACGAATTTTCATACAAAATTTCATCCCCTATTTTACTTTACTACCTGAAGAGTAAATGTTTTACAAATTTTAAACGTCATACTTATTTATATTTGATCAACAGCCTAAAAATAAGTTTCAAGCTCCTAGCTTTAAAAATAATAATACTTTCGTACAACGTTTCATCTCGAAATCGAGTTTTACCGATAGTAATCGTAATAGTAATAGCGCTTTCATCATTTTCAAGGCACTGAGACAACAATGTCAAGAATTTGCTACCTCACTGTTGGACCATACCCGAACCTCTAAGGAGTTGGAGATCATGCTCAACTACAACCCTTGGGACCTCGACAGCTGGGAACCTGGTGAAAGACAAACATTAGGAAGGCTCAAATTAGCTATTAAATATAAACAAAAAATGGTATGTTTAAATTTTATTATAATTTTAAGTAAATACTACTTATACATATACAATTTATTCATCGTCAAGACCCTAGAGTTTGTGTAATGGGTACTAGACAACTGAAATAATAATAATAATAATAATAATCTCAGGACAATTCACACAGCGCCATCTAGACCCAAGTTAAGCTAGCTAAAGCTTGTGTTATGGGTACTAGATAACTGATACAAATACATAGATTTTTTTTTTTTTTTAAATACATACATATTATATATAGAAAACACCCAGACCGATACAAACAATCATACTCATGAATACAAATGTTTGTGCCGTGCGAGGAATCGAACCCGCGACCATCGGTCGTAAAGCGGTGTACTAGACCGCTGGACCACCGAGGTCGTCAATGTTTGAAAATGTTTATATACATTTTTTTGTTAACTACATTCATAACAAATATAGAAATAACCAGACCGAAATAAACGATCATACTTATAAGTACAAATAACTGGTTTGATTAATCGCATAATTCAAATTATGCGATGAATCAAACCAGACCACCAGAATTAAGACGGTGTGCTTAACTAACCGCTATATTATTCATTATTAACCGCTCCACAACCGAGGCTATCATTAATAAATTATTAATGAAAACGAGTATATTTTATTATTTTCATGTATTTCCTTATTAGTCCATAAACAATTTCATACAATATACGATACCTATCAACAGATGATTCAGCCGATTTATCTTTAAATAAATCCTAATCCACTTTAAATAATTATTAATGGAAGAGTAGTACAGATTGTCTATTGGGTAATCATATCGATTGGTTTAGATAGAACTTTCAACGTATAGGGTTTATCTATATCCCTATGCACCCAATTCTCCATTGAGAATCCGAGAATCCACAACTAACTCGCCCGTAACATCATTACTCCTGATTCCAGTTGCTTTCAAGGGCAATAACTTTACATAAGACTGCGCTTAACTTTTATATACATATACTAGTCGCGGTTGAGTATAAAATATTACGACTTCTTTGTAGACATATTGTTCTTTTGAATAAGTGTAGTATACTAGCAAATGCACGCGATTTCGTGTGCTTACTATTTGAACTTTGAGTAATCTAATACATTTATTTAAATTAGTTTTGTATGTTATACATAACTCATTATTTTGTAAGGAGTTTTAAATATCTTAGTTTTTAAATGATCAAAGTAACGAAGGGTATGTTACGCGGAGAAGTTCTCGCTACTTAGTCACGTCTTGAAGAAAGTATTTAGCATGAACGTGGATGGATGGTAATGGAGAGGACAACTGAAAAAAAGATGGATGGATTACGCGCAATGATATTTATATAAAAGGAGAGTAATCTCAGATCTGATGCCCGATAGGGAATAAGAAGATAGTAGAAGAAAATGATAAGTATGTCATGTATGTATGCAAGGCCCCTAAGTAATGGGATGGAAATAAGGGCAATGAGTTTCTAGATTTTTAATTACCTCTTCAAATTCATTATCATTAACAAAGAATGTTGTTTGATGCATGCATCGTTCTTGCTAATGTGTATTTATTTAAAACAACATCTATTCAAAAGAGCAACACGCAAGTTTCTTGCTCATTCTTCTTGTGATGAGTCGGCATTCCGAATGAGTGGTAGAATACAAAAATTGACTATTCAAAAGTGCTTTATAAAGTTTATTATTCAAGATTATTTATATGTTGATGATATTGGAATAATTAATCAGAAATTAATTATTCATTTTGCAGTTTGTATCGCATCCAAATGTTCAACAGTTATTAGGAGCAATATGGTATGAAGGTTTGCCTGGTTTCAAAAGAAAAAACATCATAGGACAATGTGTACAGGTAAACACTTTCATTTTTTTAATCATATCATCTTATTGCTCAGCAATGGCAACGTGTGAGTGCCATTACGGGCAAACATGATAATATGATGTCCATAGTGCTATTCATGTATATAAGTAATAGTATCCGCTTACTATCAAGTATGCCGTCAGCTTGTTTACCATTCCTATTACATAAAAAAACTGTACTAGAATATATAACTAAACAACTATAGAAGTTTAAACATAAATCAATTTCAGAATACACACATTAATAATAATAACTCAGGACAATTATCTCACCACCATCTAGTCCTAAACTAAACAGAGCCTATGTTATAGGTATTAGATAACTGTTAAACATTACAAGATGTTTATGCGAAATAACAGTTCGTATTTCTCAAATAATATGTCTAAAATAATTATAAACAATGTAATATTATCTGTTATAACAGCACTTAATATTCTAGAGTTCTCTGTTGTTTATGATGCTTTTAGGTAGCAAAATTAGGAGTAATGTTTCCAGTATACTGCACCATATATATGCTAGCTCCGAACTCCGAGTATGGCAGATTCATGAAGAAACCATTCGTCAAATTTATCTGCCACAGTTCTTCTTATATGCTGTTCCTTGGTAAGTTTGAAAATTGTTTTGTATGATTACATAATTCTCAGTTTTCTACTACTCTCTTACTTCAGATTACTACTACTACTAGTTCAAATTCAAATTCAAAATATCTTTATTCATGTAGGTTTATTACTGACTCTTATGATATATCAAATCTACCGACAGTTCGGAATTATTTCGAGATGAGAAGAACTGACAAAGATATCACTACTCAACTAGATACTACAGATCACTTTTTACTTCGTTGTAACAGAAGGTTCAGGAACATTATATTTACACACACACACTTCAAGGTGTGTGTGTGTAAATATCGTGACACGAATGTAAGTTATAATGTGACCATTTTAAAATCTAATATAATATATCTATAACAATCAAACACACAAATTTATACGTTTGACGAAAAACTTTAAAACAATTCCATATTTAATAAAATAGCAAAATATGTGAGGGTTCTCAGCTATGACAAAGACGAAGGGAGGCGTCACAAAGTTTGAAATTGATGTGACATAAGGTTTGTTTGGCCCCTAAGAAGTCTATACATAATAATATAATAAAAATATAACGGATCGCTATCCGCACACAGTTATAATGGATAAACTTAAAATATACTATGTCAGAGGGAAGCGGAATGATAGACTAATAACATAGCAGTGTACCATATTCTTCTTCTCGTCGTCGCTACCACAAAGAACCAAGGTTTATAACCAGTGCGTCCTACCCGTTATGACTTACGGTGCCGAAACGTGGACACTGACGATACGACTGGTCCACCAACTCAAAGTCGCTCAACAAGCTATGGAAAGAGCTATGCTTGGAGTTTCTCTGAGGGATAAAATCCGAAACGAAGTGATTCGCCAGAGGTCACCGACATAGCTCTTCGCATCTGTAAGTTGAAGTGGCAGTGGGTTGGTCATATCTGTCGCAGAACCGATGCTCGCTGGAGTAGGCGTGTTCTAGAGTGGAAACCGCGAATTGGCAAACGTAGTGTAGGACGCCCCGCAGCTAGGTGGAGGAGAACTGGATGAGAAGGGCTGAAGATAGTGCCCAGTGGCGTGCCTTGGGAGAGGCTTATGTCTAGCAGTGGACTGCAGTGGACTGATGATGACGATGATGATGATGTACCATATTAGGTTGACCTCCACGCGGTTCTCCCTGGGAACCATCGTGATTCCAAAGGCTAACTGACCTAACCTCATACTCATATTATCATCCTCCACTGGAGCCCCACCAGCGTAAACCGTTAGCGCAGGGGAGTACTCCGTAGTTTACATAGTTGTTCCGGAGTTTACTTTTCTCATAACAAAATCTCTGTCTTTGTATTGTAGCTACCTATACCTATATATATAGATTGCATGTCATTATAGGGACTCCGGTAATGAACGCCCTCAGCGAAGTGGAGCCATTGTACTCTGTTTAGCAAGATCGCGAGATCGAGCGTGCACCATAACTTGTTTTTTGTTTTAATCTTTAATTCAAGGAGTGGGTAATATTAGAAATTGTGTTTTCCAAAGGATTTGCTGAACAAAAGAGTATTGATCATTTACCAATTACGGTTTAAGATACTTGTATAACATGATCCAAGTATGACGATGCAATATGATACGAGCAACACACAAGTTTCATACTCCTTCTTGTGATGAGTCTGCGTTCCGAATGAGTGGTAGAATAAAAAAAATGTGACTATTCAAAAGTGCTTTTATTAATTTTATCTAAATAACGATTATTTCTATATCTATTTTTACTATTTGAACTGATTTAAAGTTTACATTTCAGCCTTATTATCACTGGCTTCCCAAAGAGCAGAATATTTGATATTGGAGTGGTCAGGCATACGGTGGTTGCAGCAGCTGGTGGAGTATTGGAAGGAACACGAGCGAGGTTCTCTGCCGGGGCCTATCGAGTTCACAGTCATCATCTACATAGCAAGTAAAATTTTGTTTATTTATTTTATGCAATTGGAATGGTAAAGTTGCTGACGGTCCACACGGAAAACGATAACTGTCGCTTAAATTCATGAACTAGCAAACCGCCCCGGCTTCACACGCGCCCAATATTCGTCACTTTTTTGTAAGGCTGGTAGTTTAGTGTGTGTGAAAGTATTTTCTTTTATAAAAACTAAGATACCTTCTAAAGTGTTCGTTGAAATCAAATGTGGGTCGCAAACATGTTCGTCATTTAAGGGACATAAAAAAATCTAAATTAAAAAAAGACATTACTCAACAAAACGCAACGATTGTAAAGACTTGTAAATTGTTTTATGAAAGTTTAATGTATTTATAGCGATTTACTTCACGTCGCCACTTTCGTCCCTTCAGAACAAATTGAAATAATTTAAGCACCCGACAAACAGAACTTCGATTTGCCTTTTTTTTTATAACAACGGTTACATTATGTAACAGATTAAACAGAATCTGACATTTTGTTATAATACAAATTTTGTTCCATAAAACGAAGACATCAATTCGTACGAAAGTAGGTACCTGTATGTAGTCGTAATATATAAATTAACAAATACATTTTAAATTTAAGTGATAGTTTCGATTGTCTAGCGATTCCGATGGTCGCGGGTTCGATTCCTCGTACGGTGCAAACATTTGTATTCATGAGTGTGATTGTTTGTATCGGTCTGGGTGCTATCTATGTATATTATGTATGTATTTACAAAAAAATAAGTATCTATCAGTTGTCTAGTACCCATAATACAAGGTCTGCTTACCGTGGAACTAGATGGCGCTTTGTTAATTGTCCAGGGTAATTTATTATTATTAAAGTAATAGTGCTTGCAGCTTCGTACGCAATTAAACGTAAAACAAAATCGTAGTGGAATTAAACAAAATAATATAAAATCATTAAATAGTGAAATGAACTTCCGCAAAGTAACACCTAATTTGATTATGTATACTTAATCATCACATCGAGCATTCGTCTTCCACTACTGAACATAAATTTCATTTTATAGACAGCAGTAATGATCCGCCTGGAGCCACCTGCACTGCATATTTGCAACATATTTAGGATCACGTATCTACATTTCTACGCACTGCTATCTACTTGAATTGTATATAATTTTTGGCGGCCTCAGTGCCCTAACGGTAACGGTTTAGCGCACTGCTTTATTTTCGGTGCTCGAAGGTTCGATTCCTCGCACGATGTAAACATTTGTATTCATGAATATGATTGTTTATATCGCTCTGGATGTTTTCTATATATATTATGTAAAATAATATATATATATATTTATATCAGTAGTCTAGTACACAACACAAGCTCTGCTTACCGTGGAACTAGATAGCGCTGTGTTGAATGTCCAGGACTATTTATTTATATATGTAATTGAAATTTTAAACCAGTTGACTACCCAAAGCTAACCGTCATTCGTTAGCGGAGGCGGATGAACTATTCCATTATCATCCATAAAAAAAAACATACCTCTTCAGAATACCGGCAATAATCATATACCATAAGGTATGCTTTATATCCAAAAATGAAAGAATATACATATGTATATTGGATATTCTTTCATTTTTACGTTCTTCCTCTTTCTTTACATTGGATTAAGCAAAAATCATTATATTAATACGTGAAAAAAAACTTTGTACCCCGTTTTACGAAAATTGCGCGGAGGTGGATAGAGAAGGAGTGCAGAATGCATTTTTTTTTAATTAGATATAAAAAATACACTATATCAATTAAAGAAAATATTACACACACTACCTCTCTTGTTTATTGTTAGTCTGTGGTGATATTGAGAAGAGAATAATATTGTTTGTCTTTATTATTATTTGTCTATAGTCTTACTGAATGTTAAATTAATTGTGGTGTGTGGAATTTAGACCACTAGGCGATCACTTTTTTCTAATTTATTAGATAATTTACAAACAAATAACTCTGTGTTCTCAAGACTATATGATGTATGTTTTAGCCACACTGCAGTGATCGAAGGAAAAGAGAAATTAAGGAACTCACCCAAATTGCACAAAATTATAGTTTTTAGATGAACTGTATCGGCGACTTGAAGCACTTGAGTTTTTTAATTACATTACACCACACTCGCGATAAAAATACAGTTTGTTTTAATATTTAAGGAGCTCCTTTTGTTTATTGATGCATGCGGTGGTTGTTTCACTCGTTAGATAGCGGCGAATAATCATGTCCATATTGTGCAGGGGAAGGGGGGCGGGGAAAAGCAGTGTGGCGGCTACTGCTTTTTTTTTTGCTTTTATGTTTTTAGAAGACGCGCAAACACTATGATCGTGTATTGTTTTTTTTTTCTTCTTCATTGTTATTATAAAACTTCGTTATTTAAAAAAAAACTAAAAGGTAATTCACAATTTAGTATTTTAATGTGTATCAATCCACGGACCTCTATAAGATAAGCACAAAATGTATGGAGAGTCGGCGTGATTTATTCACTGAATTTTTATTAAATCATATATGCTATTTTAGGTTTGATCTGGGCTGAAATTAGAGCACTATGGACTGGAGGTCTTATGGAGTATATAAGCGATCTTTGGAACATTGTAGACTTCATAACGAATATGTTCTACATAGCTTGGATTAGCTTACGTATATCCTCTTGGTATATTGTCCAGGTAAGGCGCCTAATTAATATTTTCTAAAGACTATAAAGTATGTATGTAAGCAGTCATCTACCATCAACCTTCGCTCCTAAGAATATCCTTCAATTCTTGTCCCTGACGGGTAGGTAGCGAGATCTGAAAAAGGGCGAGCACAGTAGATCTATGTAGGTCGCAGTGCTACAGATGCTACAAACACATGACATATATATAAATGTAGTATATAATTATATTTAATTTAATAAAACCAAACTACCTTCGAGTATCTCTGCACTTCCTAAGGCTGGCAGGTAGATAATTATTAGCATTAAGAGCGCCTTTTTTTATATTACGATGGTGGCAATCAAACATATGGCCCATCTGATGGTATATGGTTACCGTAGCTATACAGTAGCTGCCTATTATATAAAATTCGAAATAAATAAAAAAAAAATTCATTGCAGCGGGACTTTAAAAGTGGGATGGACCCATGGTACCCTAGAGAAAGGTGGGACTCCTACGACCCCATGTTACTATCTGAAGGGGCTTTTGCAGCGGGTATGATTTTTTCATTCCTCAAACTGGTGCATATATTCTCCATCAATCCATACTTGGGACCGTTGCAAGTGTCCCTGGGGCGAATGATACTGGATATATTGAAGTTCTTCTTCGTATATATGTTGGTGCTGTTTGCCTTTGGATGTGGTAAGAATAAATAGCATAGAATAGAATAGATAATAATTTATTCAAATAAACTTAATCTAAGCACTTTTGAATAGTCATAGTTATCATACTTTTAATCTACAGCTCATTCGCAAAGCTGTCTCATCACAACAAGAACAAGCAAGAAACTTACGTGTTGCTCTTTTAAATAATCATTTTAATTTTACATTTCCAATTCGAAACGTGCGAATACAAGCCACCAAATAGGACTAATATATTAGGGTCAGTTAAGTAGACAATAGGATTATAACAGTCGTAGTGATTAGAGCAGGTCAGTCCCTACAAGTAGCACTCGTTCTCGAGTATGACGTATGAGCCAGCCATTAATATATGTAATATGGACTCTATACTCCGCATTTAACCTCTCATCTGGGCCGTTATGCGTGTAGAGCAGAGACTACTACGGTAACCAACGAAGCTCTTCAAGAAAAAATAATAATCAATCGCCGAATGTATGTAATCGCGTCTCTTAGGTACGACTACACCTTTATTCAAGTATTTAGTTCTTTTATTTTTTTTTTAAATTTTAGTACCTATGTAATAAAATGTCTAAAAATCAAAGTGCAAAACAAAATTATTGGAATACAGCATTATAATAATTATAAAGTCTAATAATCAATTTGTTAATAAAATGTTTTTATCAAAAACAATTAACAGTTGAACAGAATAGGAAGATTTTAAATTAAATACAAGTGACGTAAAAATGAGGAAGTTTAATAAAAATCTTTTAATTTACAAAATTGGGCAATTAACTTTCGTGAGGTATCAGAAAGTTATAACAATTCAATTCGATAATAATTAATAAAAATGGAATGAGGATAACTGAAAGAAATGTATACATGTATACATGCTAGCTGTGCCCGCGACTTCGTCCGCGTGGAATAGACGATCAATGAGGAATTTCTATTTCATCCTCTATTTTATTTTACCCTCTTAAGGGTAAAATTGAAATAAACTTTGAATGGCATATTTACATTTAATTTAATCAACAATCTAAAAAATAAATTTCAAGCTTTAAAATGACTATACTTCCATACAACCTTTCGTCTCCCCTTTCAACGCTTTACAACCTCTTTTTTTCATTTTAAAAATAGTCTATGTCCTTTCTCAGGGTCTAGACTATCTGTATACTAAATTTCATTTGAATCGGTTCAGTGGTTTGGGCATGAAAACGGGACAGACAGACAGAGTTATTTTCGCATTTATGATATTAGTAAGGATATATATATCGATTAGTTATGATAAATATATAAATAGATGTGCCGGCGACTTCGTCCGCCTGGAATAGATGACGAATGCTGAATTTCAATTTGCCTTCATCACAGCATCAAGAATTGATAATATCTCTAACTGTTCTATCTAGCAAACGAGTTGTAAAGGGATATCATTTTATTTTGTAGGTTTAAATCAACTAATGTGGTATTATGCTGAGTTGGAGAAGAATAAATGCTACCATGCACCAAATGGGCTGCCAGACTTTGATAACCAAGAGCGAGCTTGCACCATATGGAGAAGATATGCCAAGTAATTCTCTAAAAAATATAATAATATTTATTTATTTCATCAGTGTACAGTTTGATGCAGTCCTGACTCCCAAACTAGCGTGAGTTGTGTATCAGGAGTCAGTAATAATAATAATAACAAAAATAATAATACAGCCTTTCTTACATAATACTTATCATAATCCTATTTAATTACTTGACACTGGTACTTGAAAATAGTCTATGTGTCCAGCATAGGCGTCCTCTAGAGTTCGCCATCGAGTGCGATTCTACGCTTTCCTTTTCTACGTATGTCCCGCTATTTTTTTAATATCATCTTCCCATCTACGACACTGTCTCCCTTTCCTTCTTTTGTATTGTCTCCGGCACCAGTCAATTCTCTAAATATCTATCTATAACTAGCTGACTCGATATTATTTTTTATTTATTTATTGTACAATACAGTGTTACACTTATCCTTATGATATAAAGTGAAACTCTACTCCCTAAATAGGAAAAGTCCTGTACTTCAGTATAAGCCTACAACACTACCGTAACATAGAAAATGTAGTATATGGTAAATGGTTGACCCGTACTAATTAATTTAATTTAAACATATATCTCTATCATATATGAACTGTCAGATGCGCGAATCTTAAATAGTTATAGGTTTTCAATGTAATGTTATAATTATGGCATTTTTTTATTATGATTAAGATTAATATGCTATCTTTTTACTTGCAAGTTGTTTTAAATAATTGCGTAGCTAAGGGAAATAGGGATTCATATCATATATACATATATAGAAATATAGTTAATAATAACCCAGGACAATTCAAGACACCATAGCCACATCAAGTCCTAAACTTACCAGAGCTAATACTATAGGTACTAAAAAACTTATAGAATACATATTTATTGTACAGTCACAATGTACATTGTATATCCTATACAGGAAACACTTGTATAAAGGAAACACTCAGACTTAGCTTTATTAACAAACAATTAATATTTACATAATTGTTAAACTTTTATTTACTTTTATCGTTACAATTATTATTTGGCGTTGTAAATATTTACGTTACGTAAAATTTAAAATTACTCAGTTTACCCGTTTGGCGGTTATATTTTTATAATTATGTATTATTCATTAATATAGAATAATAGTAAAAATTTTATTGTGTGATTGGTACCTAATATAAATGAATCATCAATCTAACAAACATACTTGTGAAAATAAATGTTTGTATGGTCCGAGAATAAACTCGCAACCATTGCAAGAAGGTGCTTTGCTGGGCATAGTATATTTTTTATGTAAAATTAAAAAAATATGCGATCTTACCACTTTTTATTTATTTTTCACGAGATGCTGACATTTCGGCAGTGTTACAACCGTCATGATCACGGGTAAACTCAGTTTAAGTTTCTTAATTTTACGTATAAATATTCATCACGCCAAATTTAAATAGAGAAATAATCTTTTTTAGTATAAACTCAGATTCATCACAAGAAGAATGAGAAAGAAACTTGTGTGTTGCTCTTTTGAATCAATGTTTTTTTTTAAATTACTAATTACATAATAAGTAATTAAAAGGCATGCGATAAGCAACATAGAAACCGCTATGCACTCATTCTTAGTGCAGTCAGACATATCAGATAAAAAAGTATATTTAATATTTGTTGTTGAAATTTTCAGCTTATTCGAAACATCCCAATCCTTATTCTGGGCTTCATTCGGCCTTGTCGACTTGACAACTTTTGAGCTGACGGGCATCAAGAGTTTCACCAGATTCTGGGCGCTGCTCACATTTGGGTCCTACTCGGTTATCAATATAATTGTATTACTGAACATGCTCATCGCCATGATGTCCAATTCGTACCAAATTATTTCCGTAAGTACATCACGATCAAATATATTTATATATAGTCATAACGTCATACTCTGCTATTACTGAAACTGTAAACCGGTTTAGCACACAGCCTTACTTCCAATGGTCGCAGGTTCGATTCCTCGCAGGGCACAAACATTTGTATTCATGAGTATGATTGTTTGTGTCGGTTTGGGTGTTTTCAATGTATAGTATGTATATATTTACAAAAAAAATCTATGTATTTGTATCAGTTATCTAGTATCCATAACACAAGCTTTAGCTAGCTTAACTTGGGTCTAGTTGGCGCTGTGTGAATTGTCCTGAGATTATTATTATTATACATTAAAAACACCCAAACTGATACAAACAATCATACTCATGAATACAAATGTTTGTGCCGTGCGAGGAATCGAACCCGCGACCATCGGTCGTAAGTCGTACAGCGGTGTACTAGATCGCTAGATCACCGAGGTCGTCAAATCCGTATATTATGTATGTATTTACAAATTTAAGTATTTATATCAGTTGTCTTATTACCCATAACACAGTCTGTGCTTACTGTGGAATAATATGGCGCTGTGTTAATTGTCCAGGGTTATTATTATATTAATACTAGCCTACCCACACAACTTCGTCTGCATCACATATATATTTCGCCCAATTTATATAATATTTATTTAAATTATAGCCTATATGTTATTCTAATGTATAAGCTATATTATTCTAATGTTTCATCAAAATCCGTTCAGTATTTTTAAACCTCTAATTTTGACTCTACTTGGATTTTGACGATGTTTATTTGTATTATATAGGAACGGGCAGACATGGAGTGGAAGTTCGCTCGCAGTAACCTCTGGATGTCGTACTTCGAGGATGGCGACACGGTACCGCCACCGTTCAACATAATTGCCACTCCTAAACACATTGTTGGCTGGATCAAACGTTGCTGCAGTGACGTCAACCGAGGATCTATTTTAGTAATTATGACCTTTTTTGTATTCAAGGATAGCGTAGTGGTTTAGTGAGAACCTTCGAACGTCTCACTTGAACAGAGTTTCCATTGTTCTAGTAAATAACGAAGAATTACAGATAAACAAAAATATATTCCTAATCAAGATAAGATTATATAAAACGTTTATTACAATAATAGATACATTACACGGATACATGAATACGAAGACAGACAAAATGACAATACACACTCACTTTTAAAATATTCAAACATAAACATAACGTCTGCCAGTCTAGTCATTGCAAACCTCTTCTAACATTTAGCACGCCTCACTTTCTGATGGTCTCTGTTTATTTCCACGCAGAGATGCAATACCACGGCTGCCAATCTGTACTGTTAGTAGGTTATCGTATTCGTTGCAAAGCCTATTAGTGACTGAACCATTACTTGATGACCATAACGAGGGTGCATGTCAATAATTGTTTGTCAATATATTCATTTAATGTTAGAATAGAATAGAATAGAAAATCATTTATTCAAATAAACTTACATTGAAGCACTTTTGAATAGTCATAACATATTTTTTTTTTAATCTACCACTCATTCGGAATGCTGTCTCATCACAAGAAGAACAAGCAAGAAACTTGTGTGATGCTCTTTTAAATAATTTATTCTTACTTACAATTTAAGTTTAAGTGTGTGAATACAAACCACCGATTAGCACTAATTCAATGAAATAATAAAATAGAAAAAACATTCAATATACAACAACTGGTTAAACAATTAATAAGAGAAAATAAGTCATAGTGATTAGAGCAGACCAGTCCTAAGTCTCGGATGTTAGTGATAGTTAGACATAGACACCTATATAACTATACATTGTAAATAAACCAGCTTATAAAAAATAGAAATTCAACTGAGCTTCTTGCCAGTTCTTCTCATTTGAATCTGTATACTGAACTGGACGGTAGGGAAAAAAATATAATATAAAAATTTTGACGTTCATAAGCGACAAAAATTTCCTACATGAATATATGATTTTTGAAATTGAATTTGAATTTACAGCTTCGAGTTCCAGTGCAGTTAGAAAAAATATAACTTTTATAGAAAACATCCAGTAGTCTTTGACTAACATTATTTATATTTTAACAATATTTTATTAGCCTTTAATGTTATTTTCAAACTAATATCTAACTACCTAACGTTGACTACCAATGAAAGTAACCAAATCTATAGTTTTTTTTTATATGGGAGAGACTCAATATTAAAGTACCTACAATCAATAGAAAGAAAGAAACCCATTTATTGTCAACCACTATTAACACGCATACATATCTATATGTATGCCTATACAATATACATATACATACACATACATACATATGTAAAACAATTACTAAAAAACATATACTATAATAATTTATGTACAAATACACGTATAATATTTATTTACATGGTTGGCAACATGGCCGAAAATCAGCATTTGCCAACAGCTGTCTCGGCGACGATTTCTGTGGCTGCCATAAGTGACATAACGTACGACTCTATGACTCTATTCCTTTGCCCTTAGTGATAGATAGTAGTGAGTAATATCATTTTTAACGGAAACATAAAAGAAACAGTATCAACTTAATTGGCTATTGTTTTTTTTTTTTTTTTATTGGGTTGTTTGGGCTATTGTCAGATGTGTAGCACCTGTAGCACTGCGACCTACATAGATCTATTGTGCTCGCCCTTTTCAGAGTTCGCTACCTAGACCCGTCAGGGACAAGAATTGAAGGATATTCTTAGGAGCGATCGTTTTTATCTCCTCGGGAAAGAGTGTAAACTTTCCAAAGGAGATATTTCGTTTATGCATGAGTGGGCTACAACCACATAGGATGTGAAGCGGCGTTTCCTCTTCAGTTTGGCAGAATCTGCAGATACTAGTCGTGCATAGGCCTAGCTTAGCCATATGCTTGTTCAATTTGCAGTGTCCTGTGAGGGCCCTAGTCATCATGCATATGTTGTTTTTACTCAATAGCAGTAATCGATTGGAGTATTTGGTCGAGAAGCCCGATATAAGGTCTTTTGAATGTATTAATCCTGGCATTTCTTGCCAGTGATTCAGTGCTTCTCGTTTGGTTATTAATTTGAGATGTCCCAGTTTTAGGCAACGAGGCACACCACAGAAGGGTTCGGGGCCCAGTTGGACGGTTTTTGCCCCTAACTTTGCCAGATGGTCGGCATTCTCATTGCCTTCAATATTTGAATGCCCGGGGACCCATCTCAGAATAATATTATTTCTGCTTCCTACTTCATTTAGTAGCAGGATACAGTTTCTAATAAGTTTAGAACGGATTTCGTACGAGTTAAGTGCTAGTAGAGCAGCTTGACTGTCCGAATAAATGGCTATTGTTTGCTCCAATCGGATTTTGAATGCTTATCTAAATATAAATAGTGTTGTTATTCTCTTATATTTGGCGACCATTTTATACGTAGTTCGCACATTATGATATATAGTTGTCAATTTTTTTTTCTTTTGGGAATGATAACGTAATGGTGCACCCTCCTGTTTACGCTGGCGGGGCACCAGTGAAGGAATTTATAACATTGTCTAAGAGGAACCGCGAGATCGAACTAACATGGTACATTGCTAGCAATGGGGGTTACCTCCCAGTTGTCTATATTTATACAAAAGCATAATTGTGCGTATATGATTCGTAACAAACAAATAAACGATCTATCTATACAGAAAGTAGAGTATTACTACAATAATAATAATAATAAATGAAGCGGGCCATAACACCAAAGACATTTGGAGTACTATAAAAGACGTTGCAAAGAGTTATCAGATAGACCTTCAACTTTTACGTCATTTTTTGAGCGGCACACTTATTATTAATGTACTATCTTATCTATAATATATTAACCTTAAACGTAACACTGACACTAGTAACAGGTTAGTGACCTGTATGATATTATGTGTATGATATTATGTACGATAACATATATTTGGTGACCACTATTTATTATTTGTGGTTACAAAGTGGATAAAATGGTTTACATATCTTAGAAAAAATCTTCATTCATTTATTCATAATTTAAGAGCTACGCTCTTGTCGGTGGAGCTCTTTCATCACCTTGCCACTTTCCGCGATCTTTCATCATGCTCTTTAATTCTTGATACGACACGACTCCCATTTTGTCCTCAATTTGTTTGATGTAGCTATTCCTTGGTCTTCCCCTCCCCCTCTTTCCTTCTATTTTCCCCTCAATAATAATTTTAATGAGATCATCGTGCCGTATCAAGTGTCCTAACATTTTTCCTCGTCTATTTTCTATTGTGTTCAATATCTGCCTTTTTTCTTCTTAAAATCTTAGGTAATAATATTAGAAACTTATTACCAGTCGATCAATATAATCTCGATATAAAAATCCATGCGTCATAAAGCGTTATCATGTCACGAATCAAGGTCATACAATGAAATATTTATAGGTCCCCACTCCCTAAATGTAATGATTATCTGTGTCTTAATATTTCACGGCACCGGTGGTTTAGCGGTTTAGCACGCCGCCTTAGTTCCGATGGTCGCGGGTTCGATTCGACATTTGTATTCATGAGTATGATTACTTGTATTAGTCTGGATGTTTTCTATGTATAATTTGTATGTACTTAGATACCCATAAAACAGGCTCTACATAGCTTGGAACTTGATGGCTCTGTGTGAATTGTCTAAGGAAATTATTATTATTATATTACCAGATACGTCCGCAGTTTCACCTACGTGAAAATTATATGTATCAGATATATGAGCTATATTATTGTAAAGTTTTATTAAATTCCATTCCGTTTTCCCCTGAAAGAGTAAAACCACATTCTCGAACATCCGCATTTATAATATTAAGAAGATTAATCTGTATTTGTTTAATTTTCATGGTCTCAGTAGTTTAGCGCATTTGCACAGTATTATCAGTCAGCAGTATTATAAGAATTGGGCGTCGGGAGCAATAGTAATAAAACTCGTATGACGTCATTAATACATACGACTTACGTATTATTACTCTATCTTATTTTTTTTTTTATTTTGCTCTTTACTGCACCAATTAGAACAAAAAAAACAATTAATATAGAAAATATACATTGACTGATACAACAGGCGGTCTTATCGATAGAGAAATAAATATAAGAATAGGGTTAATACCCTCCCTGTTCTTTCGTCCATCACGTTGCTGGAATATTCTAGTTTAAATCTCGAATAACTCCCTACTAATATTATAAGGGATGACCAAAAAAACAACAGATGAATGGATCTTAATGGAATTCTTAACAAAAGTGAAATAGCATATGCTGATCGACACTATGTTGTCCCTAATTTAATTTAAACATAAATCTATATTTTTGTAATCATAACTCTAAAATAATGTTTTTTTCAATTTGAAATCCTGTACAGTAGTAGAGTTTAGTTTCATATCTCCCATTACAACATTATTGTAGACTAGTTTCACCAGAATGAAATTTGTACCCTACGTGTTATTCTGATGTATAAGCTATATCACTGTAAAATTTCAACATAATCCGTTCAGTAGTTGCTGCGTGAAAGAGTAAAACATCCATCCGTACTCACAAACATTTGCATTTATAGTATTATTAAGATATACCTTTTTCCTTTCTTTTAAATAAATTCAAAACATCTGTTAAATCTCATTTATTGAGCAAAGCCTATTACACACTAAACGATTACTTGAGTGACATACGTGCATAGCAATTAGCAATAGTAGTTCATGTACGAGATTAAGACAGATACCTACATAAGTAATTAAGATACCTACACAATGTAATTAAACTGACTTAAAAAAAGAAATTCAGTTGACTTTCTTACCAGTTCTTCTCAATTGAATCTGTATACTGAACTGGACGGTAGGGAAAAAAATTTAATGCAAAACATTTTATGTTCATAAGCGGCTAAAATGTCCTACATGAATTTCGATTTTTGATTTGATTTGATTTGATATATGGCCATTTATCTATCATTCCAATTACATAAAACCACAGAATAAATCCCGAGAGAAGGCCCGACAACAGCATGAGGCCGTAATGAGAGTATTAGTACGCCGATATGTAACAGCCGAACAACGGACTCGTGACGAAGTTGGCGTCACCGAGGATGACGTCATGGAGATACGACAAGACATATCAACCTTGAGATTCGAACTGATCGACATACTGCACAATAATGGGATGAAGACACCGAGACTAAATATACAGGACAGTACAGGTTTGTCCAATGCCTAATTAGAGAGAGTGTTTATAAACATATATATAAAATTGGAGTGTCTGTTTGTAATATTGAAATAACCGTTTTTTACTACCTGGATAAATACGATACATACAACGAAATAACATTTTTTACTATTTTGTCTGTCTGTCTGTTTGTTTCGGCTAATCTCTGAAATGACCTTTTTTAACAAATTTTTTTGACCAATTTTGACAGGACTTTTTTGGCAGGTAGTTGATGTAATAAAGAGTAACTTAGGCTACTTTAATTTTAGAAGAATAAGATTAAATTCCACGCGGTACAGTACAAAGTCGCGCGTACAGCGAGTAAAAAATAAATGACTGACCTGATAACCAGTGAATTCCCTTTTAAGTCCGCAATATATAATGGCGCAAACGCTTTCGTGACGTGTTAGTATGTCACGCCACAACATAATTGCATAATTGTGTATATTTGATATGAAAACTTTGTTGTACAAAAATTAATTAAATCGTTCTTCCATTCCTATTCCTTTCAGTATCGGGTAAAAAAGGCAAAGTAATGGAAAGAAGAATCCTAAAAGACTTCCAAATAGGCATCGTGGAGGGAATCATTAAAGACGTGATATCCAGAGAGAACAAACCCAAAGATGTTTTCAGTCAAATTGCAAAAGCCATAGTGAGACGAGGAAGTGTTGACAGGTGAGCTTTTTTATTGGAATTGCCAATATATAACTCAAAGGTGACTGACATAGTGATCTATCAACGCACAGCCCAAACCACTGGACGGATCGGGCTGAAATTTGACATGCAGCTAGATTTTATGACGTAGGCATCCGCTAAGAAAGGATTTGATTCATTCTACCCTCAAATGGATATAATAGGGGATGAAAGTTTATATGAAACTTTATCAATTTTAAACCGATCGGGCTGAGACTTTGCATGCATAAAGCTACTATGACATAGACATCCCCTAAGAAAGGATTTTGATAAATTCCACCCCTAAGGGGATAAATTAACGCGAGCGAAGCCGCGGGTAAAAGCTAGTATAGATAACACCCAGACCGATACAAACAATAATACTCGTGAAATTCATCATCATTACAACTATGTATGTTGTAGACGACACGTAAATATAGAAAATAAAAATTGTAATATTCTTAATCTTAATATTAAATAAACGCGCGTTATGGCGGACGTGCGAGCGAGCGCGACTGCAGCGCCTCTCGCGTTTTTCTTGCAGTACTAATCGGTTGCCGCGTTTTTTGTTCTCGCTTCGACTTGCGCGCACCTCCGCAACGCGAATAAGCAAAACAATCTGTTTATTTCTTTTACATCTTCAACATAAATTTGGTCTTCGGCCGGATCTTAATGTACCGAACTCCACCACGTACAATGGTACACACCAGGAAAGGAAAGAAGGATTTAGAAGATACACGTCGACACGAGCAATGTTCAAATGATTCGGTAAAAGCTGCAGATGAAGCCGGGAACGAGATGGATTTGAACTTACCTGGACCTTCTACAGTACAAAGTGACCGTAAATCAACTAATAAGAAGCTGTCAACGACGTCATCAATCGCAAAAAGGCGAAAGCTGCTTGAGTTGAGAGCTGAGGAAGAAAAGACACGTGTTCGTATGGAATTAATAGATCAAAAGTTAGCAGCAGACATTGCACAAATGGAAATGGAGGAGGGCAGTTGCAGTTCACAATCGAAGGAACCTAGTGAGCAAAATAACGATTTAGTCGAAGAGTGGTTAGAAAATAGCAAACAAGTTACGTTGGCACAATGTACCACACGCCATGAACCCGTTGCTGATAAGTTGCTGCAGCCGGAACGACCAGAAAACTCAAGGTACGACAAGAGTACGCATGACGCCGGCCTGCAACCATCCATAGTGGCTAAACATACTCGTACACTCGAAACAGCACCCACGTCACCGCCACAAGCTGTAATCCCTGGCGGTACTGATGAAAACGTGGGGCACGCACTGTCGAGTGCACTGAAGGACCTAGCCGCTGCCAGTGCTCGTGGATATAATGACAAGCTGATCAATCGTTTGTGTACACCGAGAGATCTGCCTGCATACTCAGGAGATCCTCTGGAATGGCTTCAGTTCAAAGTAGCTTATGAAGAATCATCACAAGTCTGTAACTTTAGTGAACGGGAGAACCTATGGCGCTTGAGGAAGAGTCTCCATGGAGCGGCTAAAGAGGCAGTTACAGCCTTACTTATTGGTGCTACATCCCCAGAAGCCGTGATGTCCACATTGGAACTACAATTTGGAAACCCTGATGTGATTATTTCAAGGATCCTACAGGACATACAGAAACTTCGCCAGATACCACCGGATTACCAGAGAGATATAATACCATTCTCCATTAAAGTGAAAAACTACGTGGCAACCGTCACCGCCATCGGCTGTGATGAGTACCTACAAGGAATGAATATTGTGTCTATTATTCTCTCTAAGTTACCGACCGTATTGGTATCGAAATGGACTGATTACAGTTATCCTTTATTTAACCAAAGAAGCAAGCCTAAACTTGTGATTTTATCCGAGTTTTTAAGTGAAGAAGCTGTGAAAATAACAAAAACATTCGTCAGTGTACAAAGTTATTCGAAGCATAGTTATAGTGATAAATATCGTAATCGCACACAAACTATTTTATTTAATAATGAACTCAGTGATACGTGTAGTAAAGAAACAGTATGTCGGTTTTGTCGGATATCTAAACATGCGTTACCCGACTGTAAAAAGTTTAAAAAATCACTACGTAAAGATCGGTGGACCTTTGTGAAACGTCATGGTCTGTGTTATAAGTGTCTGACGTCACAGCATAAACAAAATAACTGCCCCGAACCGGTGTGTGATATAGACAGTTGTGGACAATCGCATCATCGCTTGTTGCATTATACAATAAATAAAAACTCTAAACCGAACAGTAATGTGCATATTACCGAAGTGAGTGAGACTGAGCCGCGCGTAGATACTATAACCCATATAAACATAAACAACTGTAAAGTGTTATTAAAAACTGTACCTATATACCTACACGGACCTAGCGGTGTAGTTCGTAGTTGTGCATTACTAGACGACGGTTCGACTGTCACATTGATAAGTGACGAGCTCGCCGCACGGGCAGGGTTGCGTCGCGGTAATAAACAAACTATGCGTGTATGTGGTGCATGGGACAATAGTGAAATTGTGTGTGATAGTGAAATAATGGATTTTGATGTATCTAACAGAGAGGGAACTATGTTTTCAATTCGTGCGCGTTGTGTAAAAAATATGGACTTACCTGTGCAAAATGTCTCCGCCGATGAACTTTGTAATTTTGAACTGATGAAATCTGAAATAAAAAACATAATTAGTGATGAAAAGTGTAAACCGGAACTGTTGATAGGCCAGGACAATTATGAGTTGCTCTTACCTTTGCAAATAATAAAGGGCAAACCTAATGAAACTTACCTTACTCGTACACCACTGGGTTGGTGTATCCATAGTTGCCTGCGGTCGCGCTGCACTGCACTAGCGACACCGCGGTCGACACTGTTCCTGTATGAGAATAGAATACCTGTGAGTACAGAAGCCGAACGTATTTTACGAGATATGCATGAGGACTTACGTCAATCTTTTGCATTAGAGTCTGTTGGCATTTCCACTAAGCCGAGACAGAATATAGAAGAAGTACGAGCCTGTGAACATCTGGAACGTACTGCAAAATTAATAGATGGTAAATGGCATGTAGGATTGCCATGGAAAGATATGAACAGTAAGATGCCTAATTCTTACCGTAATGCTGTGACAAGATTGAAAGGCATCGAAAATAAAATAAAATTTAATTCAGGCTACGCTGAAAGATACAAGGACAGAATGAATCATCTGTTCAGCAACGATTACGCCTCAGAAATCGAGAGTTCACAGACAAGCGACAGAACTTGGTACCTGCCACATTTTGGAGTTGACAACCCTAACAAACAAAAGCTAAGATTAGTATTTGATGCCGCTGCTAGAAGTGAAGATGTCTGTTTGAATGATTACCTGTGGAAAGGTCCTGATCTTCTCATTTCACTGTATGGAATAATGCTACGATTTCGTGAAAATAAAATAGCAGTCACTGGAGACATCAGAGATATGTTCTTGAGAATAAAAGTACAAAAAGAAGACAGAAATGCACTCCGTTTCCTATGGAAATAATCACCAGATCAACCGATAAAGACATATGCTATGAGTTCATTAATATTTGGTGCGAACTGTTCTCCATTTGTAGCACAATTTATAAAAAATAAAAATGCTAAACGATATGAAAAGTCCATGCCAGAAGCTGTACAAGCTGTCTATAGGCAGCACTACATGGATGACTATATAGACAGCCTGGAGGACGAACAGACAGCTGCCCAGCTAGTGAATGATATCACCTATATTCACAAGCAGGGAGGATTTGAAATAAGAAATTGGACTTCAAACAATCAGACAGTATTTAATAATTTACCTAATCACAGTATAAAGTCATCTGTCTCATTTAAAAATGGTCAGCCCTATGACGCACGTACGCTGGGCCTTATCTGGTTTCCTACCGATGACACGCTGGGATTCGATGTCTCATTTAAACGAATACCCAAGCTGATTATGACGGGGAAAAGAAACCCACTAAACGAGAGATGCTGAGAGTATTAATGTCTATTTTTGATGTTTACGGATTTTTATCACCTGTCACAATAAAAGGAAAGATCATTCTTCAAGATACATGGAAATCTGAAATAAAATGGGACGACGAAATAACAGATGAAATATTTATAAAATGGTTACATTGGATAAACATAATGGAATCTATAAATAGTATACGCTTGCCCAGGTGTTACACACTTGCAACTAGAGATAACGGGGTGCCGGCTACGACAACGAGTGTGAGTGAGATGCAAACTCTCGGTACACGTGCACCGAATAACCAGTCTCCGCCGGCGAGCCTACTGAATGTACCTACAGATCGCTGTCGGGGCACATCGCGCTATACAAACCTAGATTTACATGTGTTTTGCGATGCTTCGTCGAAGGCGATGTGCGCTGTGGCTTATTGGCGCTGGATTGATAATAATAAACAAATACAAGTTGCATTCGTATCCAGTAAGTGTCGAGTCGCGCCTGTGAAATATATGTCCATACCGCGTCTAGAATTGCAGGCGGCAGTGATCGCTGGGAGATTGGCAGATAGTATATGTAAAGAACATAGAATAAAACCAATAAAAAGGTACTTTTGGTGTGATTCTGCTACTGTTTTGCACTGGATAAGAAACAATAATAAAAATTATAAATCATATATTGCTCACCGTCTGGGAGAGATTGATGAACTCACACAATTATATGAATGGAGATACATACCTACAAAGTTGAATGTTGCGGATATTGCCACTCGAGAGACCTGTGAAATAAAAACATTACAAAATGAGTGGTTATATGGACCTATATTTTTAAAAGAAAATGAAGACTTGTGGCCTACAGTCCGTGAACAGCTGGATGCGTCTGAGATGGACCTGGAATGTATAAATAATATTAGCTTCACGCCTGTATACTTACCTGCTGTACCTGATCCTGAACGGTTTTCCTCATGGCTCCGCTTGTTGAAATCTACGTGTGTTATATTGCGCTTCATAGAAAAATGTAAGAAACTTACTTGTAATGCAGACCAGAGATTAATGGAGCGCGCTGAAAACCTGTTACTGATGTACTCGCAGATGAAATCTTTCCCTGATGACCTGCATAACCTGAAACATAAAAAAGAATTAGATAAGAAAAGTAAATTACTTACCTTGTCGCCGATGCTAGATGAAGACGGTATTCTTCGCTTGGCTGGTCGAATTGACGCCGTTTCTGAAATTTCAAGTGCAGTCAAACGACCTGTAATACTTGATGGCCGCTGTCATGTCACACACTTGATTGTAAGGCACTACCATGTGAGAGCATGTCATGGTAACCAGGAAATGGTCGTGAATGAATTGAAACAGCGGTACTGGATTATTAGATTGCGACCCACAGTAAAGCATATCACTTCACAATGCATGCTATGTCGGATTAAGAAAGCTCAACCTCAACCACCCAGAATGGGTGACCTGCCAGAGGCGAGGATGGCTCATCACCAGCGCCCCTTCACTCATACAGGGCTAGATTTATTTGGGCCTCTAGAAGTAACAGCCGGCCGTAGCAGAATAAAGAGGTACGGTGTAATTTTTACTTGTCTTACTGTGAGGGCCATTCATATTGAAATAGTTAGTCAACTCACAACCGACGCATTGATAATGGCACTGCGACGAATGGCATCCAGAAGAGGATGGCCGCGGTATCTGTATTCTGATAACGGGACAAATATGAGAGGAGCTGACACAGAACTAAAAAAATGTATCCAGGAACTAGATGAACAACAACTGAATGAAGAAATCATTAATTATAGCACTGCCACTACCTGGACCTTCACCCCCCCCGCTAGTCCTCATTGGGGAGGGGCATGGGAGAGGCTAATTAGAAACATTAAGACAGCACTGAAGGTGATAATGAAAGAGCGAGCTCCACGAGAAGAAACCCTCCTTACATTGATGGCTGAAGTGGAGCATATGGTAAATAGCCGCCCCCTCACTCATGTAACCGTGGAACCAGGCACAAATGAATCTCTTACGCCAAACCACTTTCTTTTGGGGACGTCCTCCAACTTACCAGTACTCGGTACATATAATGAGTCAGCTGTGTACCTCCGCAAACAGTGGCGCATATCACAGATGCTGGCAGACATGTTCTGGAGGCGATGGGTATGCGAAGTCCTACCTGATATGCGACCTAGACCGAAATGGCACAAAGAGCAGAGACCTTTGCAAGTAGGAGATCTAGTGCTTGTGGTGGACCCCAGTTCTCCAAGAAACGTGTGGCCGAAGGGCTTAATTGAAGCCGTAATACCGGGCAAAGACGGTAAAATCAGAGTAGTTGACATAAAGTTGAAGTCTGGGATCCTAAGAAGGTCAGCTGTACGTGTCGCACGTATAGCTACGGGGTCTGAGTGCTGTGCCAGCACTGGGGAGGGGAGTGTAGACGACACGTAAATATAGAAAATAAAAATTGTAATATTCTTAATATTAAATAAACGCGCGTTATGGCGGACGTGCGAGCGAGCGCGACTGCAGCGCCTCTCGCGTTTTTCTTGCAGTACTAATCGGTTGCCGCGTTTTTTGTTCTCGCTTCGACTTGCGCGCACCTCCGCAACGCGAATAAGCAAAACAATCTGTTTATTTCTTTTACATCTTCAACATATGTGTTATCATTATCATTATCATTATTGCGATAATGATAACACATAGGCACATATGTAATGTGTTGGGTGTGTCATTATAATTAAATCATCATCATTACATAGTATAAAACAAAGCTGTCTATCCGTATGTATGCTTAAATCTTTAAAATTACATAATGGATTTTAAAGCGGTTTTTTTTAATAGTTTGAGTGATTCTAAAGAAAGGTACATAATATATGTACACCCGGGCGAAGCCGGGGCGTGTACCTAGTTAAATATATTATTGTTTATAGTAAAAAAAGAGACTGGAACACTTTGGTGCGCAACAACACAGTGCGACGTGATCCCATCGGCACTACAGTGGAGGCGCAAGCCAGGCGTGTCCGCCAGTCCCTCAGAATACATATCCTGGAGAATGTTTCCTCGCGGACCATAGATCCCCAGAAATTATTGGGTAACTATAAAAAAAAATACTATTTATATTTATTTGTTATTTGTATTTGTATGAATGTCAACGAGGTGCGTGGATGTAATTGCTGAAAATAATTATAAAACACCAATTTGTATACTGTTTTAAATTTGACGCGGTCAGTAATCATGTGTAATCATGAAAATATGAATAAATACATACATATAAATAAAATTGGAGTGTCTGTTTGTAATATTTAAATTACCGTTTTTTACTACATGCATATGAATATAAATACGGTACATATACCAAAATAACATTTTTTTTTAATTTTTGTCTGGCTGTTTATTCCGGCTAATCTCTGAAATGGGTGGACCGATTTTGACGGAACTTTTTTTGGCAGATAGCTGATGTAATAAAGAGTAACTTAGAGTTATTTTAGAAAAATTAAGTTAAATTCCACGCGGACGAAGTCGCGGGAACAGCTTGTATAGTATATATAATATATATCCTACAGTGAAACTTCTACTAAAAACTTTCGCTGTAAACCTCAGTAGGAGGAAAATAAGAAAAAAAATAAAATCGACAAATCGCTCTTGGTTCAATGTAGTACAACGCATTTTGTTGTTTATTAATATTATCGGATAATTTTGTACGTTGTATGTATTTATGTGTCATGTATCTTGTTTGTCATCGTGTTCTTATTCATTTATGCAATTCGGGTTATATAAACAATTACGTTTATGTTTTACATGAAATAAAAAATTTTGTTTTATTTTGTCTTGTATTGTTGTCTTTTGTATGTGTTATCTTGCTTTAGTGCACAATATTAGTGTTATTAATTACAGAATACAATCCAAAACTATCAGAAGTGACACCAACTACACGAGTGGCATATGCCAAGTTTATGAGAAGTAAAATAAAATCTGACTTCACAGCTACAGAGACGATGGGATTAGAGGAAATAAGTTTAGAGGACGATGTTTTTGAATCGCCAAAAAGACATGATACTAAAAGACACGGTCGTAAGTATACAAATTATGTATTTTTTCTAGCGGTAGATATGTATTGAAAAGTAATGGAGGCAAATAAATAAATATTTGGATATTATATATATAGACTGAAACATTGTAACCTTACACAATTCACACGTTACAAGAAACTACAACGTGTGAATTGTGTAAGATTATTGGTACGAGGCATCTGATATACTTAAATAATTTTTTAATAAAAATATTCTTCATAACATAGTATAAAACAAAGTCGCTGTAGCTGTCTGGCCGTTCCTATGTATGCTTAAATCTTAAAAACTACGTAACAGATTTTGAAGCGGTTCTTTTAAATAAATAGAGTGATTCAAGAGGAAGGTTTATATGTATAATACATGTACACTCGGGGGAAGCCGGACGAGTAGCTAGTAATATACATAGAAAACACCCAGACCAATAGAAACAATCTCATGAATACAAATGTATCGTGCGAGGAATCGAACCCGCTAGACCACTGAGATTCGAACTTGAACTTTATATCTCGTTGTAGGTATCATAAAATGGACTCGATAGACAGATAAAACATTAAATGATATACCAAGGTAAGCAAGTTAGTAGTATAACAATTTTCCTAAACATATGCTTAACAAAACATTTGCTATAGGTCAACCATTCCGAAGCAGAACACCTATACCTGAAACTTCAGATGACGAATGTTTGAAAGATTGCGAAGTACACATAGAAGCATACATTGAAGATAAAGGTAATAAAATATTACAAACTATGTACTAATATTAATAACTATTAACTTTATTAAACATATGAACCAAAATGAACTAACAAAAATTTATTCACATAATCATATGTTAATCTTTCTAAATAGGATCAGAAGGCGGATCTGAACAGACTCGACCATTGAAATCATCTTCACATGAACATTCTGTACCAAGCACACCTGATTTCGACCCGGTTAATGACAAACTGTTCGCTCCTCCAGCACAGTTTGAAGTCAACGACTATGTCATCCAGATAGATGAACCTACAACTCAGACTAAGGCACTACGCATGAACGACGTGGAAGATACAAATTTGCAGACTCCTATTACTTCTAGTAAACATTCTGAACAGATCTTGTCAGCGTCAGCTTTAGATGTGCAAAGCAGGCAAATAACATCCCCATTCAGAGCTGATGATAGTCGCCTTTCAAGCAGAAAACTTGAAACTCCAATACCAGCTGTTAGTGAGCAATTGATAGTGAGGTCTGCATCCAGATCAACATTACGCAATTCTAAAATAAGTCCATCATCTTCACCTACTCTGACCATGACAAAGGAGAAAGGGAAATCTAAAGTAACGGGTAAATTTGTCTCAGGGTGGCTGTAAGAGATGTATTGATTAACTGACCAATATTGACGTATTAGTGAGATAACTAAATGCCTTGTCGTTCGAGCAATAATTAGTAATAATAGGTAGTGATTTTGTAGTTAACTTTAAAAAATACACTGCTTTCTAAGCCTCAACACAGTGTTTCTTTTACTATAAATGTAATATTAAAGTAAGAAAAGAATAACTTGACCATTAATAAAATTATGGGTGAATTAATGTAATTATTTTGAGTACTTACATTATTACAATACTTTTACCTGTTAAAATAGACAATAGGCGGTAATATCTTTGCGTATTAAAATAAAACGTTTGCATTTGACTGTTTTATTTCAGCCTGAAAACAATAGCATTAGCAAAATACTTTGATATATCTTCTTCTAGCGTTAATTATTCGTGAACAATCATTTTCTTTGATCCGATTAGTAATTCAATAGCCCCGAGCAGTTTGTAAATTGTCGTGTATGTTGTTACCTTTTAATCTCAATTCAGAGAATACTGTGGGTTGTTTTTAAAGAAAATAATCCTTTCAAATATTACAATGGTTTCCTACCCATACTGATATTTTTGCCTAATATTATTTGTTCTTCAAAAGTATTTTATTGCGCGTCGAAATAAACTGACATCATCGGCATCATAAATATGAAATTTTAATTTAGATTGTGGTGCAACTATTTTTCAATAAATTTGTAGTTAGTGTCTAATTATGAAATTATCTTGAGTGTTGACCTTTTTTGTAGTTCTCTATCTTTAATATAGTCCAATAAAATATTAAATCTAACCAAAATGTGACCAGTTTTGACGCAATATAAGGCTTATATCAACCATTTTTTTTTATTTTTTCCATCCCTTTCCCGTCAACGTCAAAATGAAAGTTTCTTTCTAAATATTCGTAACTCACGTATTTGCGGACTTGTTTTTATATATTGCGTCAAAACTAGTCGCATCATGTTTTAATTTAATATTTTATTGGACTAATAGTACAGTTAGCACTCGTAACAGCACAACCATAGTTGTGACTCTAATTTATTGTCGTTCCTAATATAAAAAACTTATACCTAAGGGGATAAACAAGATAAACACCTCACCTAAAGATAAGCAATTGCTCTGGCCTTTAGCACTTGCGGATTGGAGCATTGATTTTGTTCTCCTTTTTTAGTGCCAAAACGAACCCATTTTATGGGATCTAATGTATCCTCTACACCAACACAAAATATCCCACAATACTATACATATATCCTTTTTATACTGCATACAACCCTTATTACATACTTCTAGCACTTATCAGTTAAAACCTTTATTTTCAAATAGATTTATTGATCTATAATCTACTTATTAATAAATATACGTAAACCACATATACCTTTAAATATCTGCATCTAATAAATGTAACATATAGTACATGTTACAAGAGAGCACTGATACCTATAGAACAGGTGTAATACCTAGTTTTGGTTATCAGGGTCCTCATTTTATATTACGCAACTGGCTGCCACTTGATTAGCTATCTAACTTCAATGTACTGCCCCTTTTTTAATCTTGTGGTTGTACAAATAAAGCATTATTATTATTGTCTTCATAAGACAAAACATGAATGATGCATGGGTTCATATAAACAAATCGATGTGCTCCCTCTAATATGGTCGAGCGCAATGATGGCTGGCTCATCCGTCATACTCGGGTGCTGCTTATGGGGACTGGTTGCGAACACTGATAGATAGATAGATTTTGTTTTTTTTTTTTTCAATAGCATATGCTGGTGGTTACTCTATTCTCCCAAATTTGATTTTAAATGAATCTGTATTATTGTAAATATGTACAACATTTAAAATAAAAATACGAGCTGAGTTTCTTGTCAGTTCTTCTCATCACGAAATCATTCCGAACTGACGGTAGATTTGACATATCATAAGAGTCTGTAATAGACCTACATGAATAAAGATATTTTGAATTTGAATTTGTAATACGCGTATGATCAAAAAAGCTGCAATAGCAACAACATTTACAACTATGTCATCCATTGAAGTAGAGTAGAGGAGGCGAGGCGATCTCGCCCCGAGTTAACTGCTGCTATTAGGAAGATGTGGTAAGTAGAGAAAGGAGGGTGTGTGGGATTCACAATTATAATAAAATTACTTTAGTTACTAATAGCTTTTAATAATAATATTTATGTCGTTATACAATATATAATATATATATTTCACAATTGAACGTCTATCACTTATAAACTTAAATGTATAATATTGATCACTAAAAATACAATACACTCTCGAAACAGCAACCGCATTCAGAATTGGTCCCTATTAGGGAGATTGTAATGGAAAGTAATAGCCCCATCGCCAGTGATGGGCTTCAGTTTGAACTTCATAAGTCATCTCCCTAAAAATCTATAAACCTTACGTTTTACCTATCTTTTTAATACCAGAATTATAGCAAATAAGTATATGATGTGAATCTGATGGTAAACGACTATCATGGCCTGAAACATCAGGGGTGTCACGTGCGCAATGCTGAGTCAGCTTGTCTTGTAAGCTGCATTTTGGTGGAAGGGATATATACAGTAAAATTACAGGATTCCAATCTGGCGAGTTTGGATGTAATTTCAATTACATAAAAAAAAATTGATAAGATTGCAATACTGGAAGAGTTAGATTAGGTTAGCTTTTGTATACTATATATATACTTAGGTTATTACTAAGGTTAGTTAGGTTACGATAGTGCGGGCGAGGCTGGCAATTCGTCGGCCTGCATGAGGAATTTTGAAGATTTTTCACACATTAAAAAAAAGGTATTGTATGTATATTTATACAATGAATCATATATGAAATATAATAAATAAATATAAATATATTAATGAATATACCTATCTATAGTTATATTTTGGTTAAGTCTACAAAATGCATTCAATATATACAAAGAATGTACTACTACATATTTAAAAGCATTCATCAATAGTTACACAACCAAACAACTTGTTAATTTTCGAATACTGACATATAGAGAGGGGAAAGGGGATTGTTAGTAATGTGGACTGATGATTTCATTGCTAGCAATGTACCATGTCAGGTCGACCTCCGCGCGGTTCCCTCTGGAAACCATCGTGATAAATTCTTGGTGAATCTGTCACGATGGGCTAACTGACCTGAGCTCATGCTCATCTTATCACCCTCCACTGGTGCCCCGCCAGCGTAAACCGTTAGCGCAGGGGGGTGTACCATTCCATTATCATCCTTAAAAAAATAAAAAAATACTAACATATGAAATACACATACGAATATTGATAGCGGATTGATAGCAAACGTGACGTGAAACAATATTTCTTACATTCTATGATATTATCATTATTACAAAGTATAAAACAAAGTCGCTGCCGCTGTCTGTCCCTATGTATACTTAAATCTTTAAAATTACGCAACGGATTTTGAAGCGGTTTTTTTAATAGATATAGTGATTCGACAAGAAGGATATACATAAACCTTTGTTTATTATAAACAAATTACGATAACGAAATTAATATAACTAGTCTGGCCATAAATACTTTTCTTTTTTTAAACTTTTTAATTATTTTAAATTTGGTAAAATATTATTTTAAAAACTTCTTTCGATTTTCGCCATTTCGCATAATTTTTGTCTAGCTGGACTATGTATATTATTATATTATAACATAGTAGTCATACTTATAACGTAATTAAGTAAATATTAAATACAGAGGGTTTTACAATTTCGAACAGTAAAAGAATATACAAAACTATGTTAAAATGGTACTATATTATAAGCTAAAAATTCAAATTAAAAATCAAATGTCATTGTACTTATTTTAATTACGTATGATTTGATTGATCAATATATCAACAATATCAAATATATCATTGATCAGCAAATAAACATTTCATTTCATCATTATATATCTAATAAAAAAATTATGTGCCGGTAGAAAAATGAATTGTCACTAATTACGAAATAAAATACAGCGGTGATGATGAAATACATTGATGAATTGAAATTTTACATACAAATCGTCAACTAAAACCTATGAATTTTGTTTTTTTTATATTTATTTATTTAAGAGTCTACCATTATACAACCTTTCATCCCTAATGACTTAGTACAACACAGCCCAAACAGTATAAATAATTCGGGACCAAATTTCAATTTGGATATTTCAAGTAACAATTTAATTTCAAATACAGATATACTATGTAACCATATAGCGGATGTGTTATCCGCCTTTTGGCCGCCTAACCTTTTTGAAGTCTGTTAGAAAAGTTTCTAACAGACTTCAAAAAGTTGATCACTATGAATTTATTGTTATTTTTTTTAGATTGAAACTAATAATAACAAAAAATTTACCCGTTCAGTTCTTCAAAGGAACTTCTTCTCAACTGAAGAAGTTAGCTGAACTATATGATAAAAAATCTAGTCTAGCATACACTAAAACAGTAAACATAGTATACCTACATTCAAAACTTTAAAAACGAGTTAGTAGTTTAGGATTCCATCGAGAACATTCAACGTGACATGAATTTTTATAAGATATTAGTCATTAGCGTTACATATGTACAGTCTGTTTTTTGTAACATTAACATTTGAGATCACATGTGGAAAGCCGCGCCAACCACTAATATATGATAAGACCCAATCAAATACAATACAAATAGGTATGGTATAAGAAATTTAATGTCTCCCAAAAATTGGAATCCTAAACTTTTTCTGGACATATAAATAAATAAACGCATATCATTCAGATCAAACTTATCATGGAAAAATCATGTCTATTATATAAATTATAAAGGCCGGTTTAGGCACCTACTACTCTGTATATAATCCAGGGTTGAATGAAAACTGAATCCTTGTAATAGAATGTGAAGGGTTGCTTGTATCACGCATCAAATGACACATGTTATGCAAGAATATTTATTTATAAACAACGAAATTATACATATAATTAATTTCTTTGGAAAGCTAGCAAAAAAATTAATACATTGTAAATTAAATTAAATGAAAATAAATTAAATTAAATTAAAATATATTAAATTAAATTAAATTTATTTGCGTATTATACAGTTGATGAAACTGTTAATTAAAATTATCTTTTCATGTCTATTTTAATAACGTTGTGACCATGCAAATACTGTA